TAAAAAAAAAAAAAAAAAAAAAAAAAAAAGGCTTCAAAGAGCAAGCGCCATTTTTTTTTTTTTTTTTTTTTTTTTTTTTGTGGTGTTGTAAACCGCGCAGTTATAGGTTACGGTTATGTTCAGTATGAAAGAAAGACCTCACTGCTTTTTTTTTTTTATTGATCATGTCTTTGTTTACTTCTTATCATTGACGGGCAATAGCATTGGATTGACGCTTCTCGGACACGTTCCTGGCATTGGCTATGCCTGGTACATTGTGTACAAGTACAGGGATGAGCCTTCAGAATATAACCGATATCACGGACGCACATATGTCGCCGTTCCTCAACAGCATAATTATCAAGCTACTGCTCAGACAGCCCCAGCCCATCCACCTGTCGTTTAAGCTGAATTAGTTAGCTGAGTCCTTTGAATACAACATCCAACTTTTCCATACTTTTTTTTTTCCCATGTCTATAACATTTCATTAAATGAATGGACGTTCTGTTTCATCAATTTCACGCGATATGGTGTTAAGAAGGCAAAGGTCTTTTTTTTTTGTAGCTTGTAAAGATGTCTAATGACAAGTATACACTATTTCTTTTGATTTCTGGTTCTAATATGTACACTATATACATGAGCACAAAGGTTACGCGCATAAACTGGCCTTGTTCAGAGATGTAAAATCATTCAGATACAGAAGGAAAACAAGCATTGAGGTGGTAACAGACCCAAAAACATATTTTCCAGCCTCAAATCCTTGTGCTGCGTCAAGAGTCGGATGGAGTCTAACTTGGTTTCTCCTAAGGTCTTTTGCGTCTGTTTCTAGTTTTTTTTTTTTAAGCTTTTTTAAATTAGCTCGGAGAGAATTGAGGAACATGCCACGTGGTGCCTGGGAATCCATGCTGTCAATGCCCATTCATTTGACGTGTAAATAGCATTGTTCATGTATATATATATATACATATATACATATAGATGCATATGTATGTGTAATATGTGTATGTATAAACAGCATGGTGGCATGGTAGTGAAGAGATTTGTCAAGTCTTTGAAAGAGACGTGGCAGGTTAGTCCTTGTTGAGGATAGCTTGAAAGTCAAGGAGATGAAGAGACTGGCTATTGTCAATCACAGTTTGATGGGGCAAAGCATTTCCACTGTTGTGTAGATGTATAAATATAAATAATTAACTGTATGAATAAAAATTTATATATTATTCTACTTTCTCACGCCTCTAATGGATTGTTATAAATATTTTTTTTTTTTTTTGGGTCTTCGATCTGTGACTAATGCCTGTGCACACAACACAAAGACCCACGGACACATTTAATCCCCCATTAAACCCCCAAATATTTTCTTTTTCTTTCTTTTTTCTTCTTCTTAATTTAAATTGCAGAAGAGGTGAAAAGGAAAAGAGGAGACAAAGGATAGGGATTCAATAGAGACCAGCGAGAATGGGTCCTTGTGCAAAAAGCCAGCGGAGACAGAAATGGTTGAATAAACATTTGTGTCAGGCCACTGTCTGATAGGGCTAATCAGGGATGCACCCAGCAAAAAAACATTCACTTCTTCTTTCCTTCCTCCTCATCTCATATTATTCATCTTTCATTCACACATTCACATCCATTTATTTATTCATTCATTCATTCATTCATTCATTCATTCATTCATCCCCATTTCACTCTTCTTTTATTCATTCACTCAACCATACTCAGTTGACCCTTTTATCACCCTTGTCTTTCCCTCTTTCTCTTCTCTCTTCTTCTCCTCTCTTCTACTTTTCTCTCCACTCAATTGAATCAGCAAGATAAAAATGACTGCCCCACTCGACAATCATGGGATGGAGTCTCATCCACGCAAGATGTGGGAACCCTCAAATCTGGATAGCACAGAGATGGAGAAGTTTAGGATCTACATCAACCAGAAGCATTCCCTAGCCCTTGGTACGTTGAAATCGATTGGTCATTGTGTTTGTACTTGTTCCATTCAAGCTAATGTTTTGATTTTCTTTCACATCTGATCCTGATAGCCAACTACCATGATCTGTGGAAGTGGTCTGTGGATGAAATCGAAAAATTTTGGACGGCTGTCTGGGACTACACTCATGTTATTGCTTCCATTCCTCCTTCAGGTCCCGTAAGTCGATCTTGATTAACTACTACCTATCATGCTGTCAAATTGTTGATGACTATGATTATGACTGTCTATAAGACCATGGCTATGACAATGTTGACATTCCTCTCTTTGAAAAAAAACATAAAATAAAATAAAATAAAATAAAGGTCGTCGATGGATCAGCTCCAATGGATACTTTCCCAATCTGGTTTAAATCCGCTCGTTTGAACTTTGCAGAAAACGCATTGTGGTGCAAGGATACGACCAAAACAGCCATCATCGCCACAGGAGAATTGCAAGAGACCCCAAGGAGGATCTCCTATGCAGAACTCTACACTCGAGTCCGTCAATGTGCTAAAGCTATGCGCAAGGCTGGTGTCGTCAAGGGTGACCGTGTTGCAGGTTATATTGCTAATTGTCCAGAAGCCATCATCGCCATGTTGGCTGCTGCCTCCATTGGAGCCATTTGGAGCTCTACCTCTCCTGACTTTGGAACTATTGTAAGTCAAACGTACTTTTTTTTTTTTTTTTTTTTTTTTTTTGCAAATAAATGCGGACCTGGGTTTAATTGGATGTTTTGGGATGGGCTACATGTGTATACTGCTTTTTTTTTTTTTTTTTTTTTTTTTTTATGATCTGATCAGCTTCATTTAAAGTTCCATGACTTTAATCAGCTCACTTTTTCTTTCTTTTTACTTCTTTTATAAAAGGGTGTCCTGGATCGATTCTCTCAAATCAAACCAAAACTGTTGTTCTCGGTCAATGCTGTTGTCTACAACGGCCGTCCTCATGATCATGTTCAAAAGTTGCGTCAGGTCTTGGAAGGTAAATAATTAATATCTCAATGTCTTTCTTTCTTTCTCTCTCTCTCTCTCTCTCTCTCTCTCTCTCTCTCTCTCTCTCTCTCTCTCTCTCTCTCTCTCTTTCTCTTGGCTGTATTCTTGAGGCACTCTTTTTCGTTTATTTTATTTTACTTATATACTTACATGGCTATTATCATATTTTCACGCTCTCTCAGGATTGGAAATGGTGGAAAAGGTCATCTTGATCCCTTTCGTTCCATCGTCACCATGCGACGCCTCTTCTGTCGAAAATGGTCTTACCTGGTCCGACTTCCTTGCCACCTCTGGAGAATCTATTGAGCCTTTCTCAGCTGTATCAGCAGAACATCAGGGTCAGGACCAGCATCAGAACCAGCATCTGGAATTGATTGAATTCGAACCCCTACCCTTCAACCATCCTCTATACATCCTCTTCTCGTCAGGGACAACAGGCAAACCCAAGTGTATAGTTCATTCCGCAGGTGGCATGTTACTCCAACACAAGAAGGAGCATATCCTTCACGGAAACTTGAATTCATCCGATATCCTCTTCCAGTATACTACCACAGGTTGGATGATGTGGAACTGGCTTGTCTCGGGTTTGACCTTGGGTGCAACCATTGTTCTCTATGATGGCTCGCCCTTCAAGCCAGGTCCTTCCGCACTCTGGGATCTGGTAGAGCAAGAAAAGATCACGGCCTTCGGTACTAGTGCCAAATACATCCAAGCCATTCAGGACGTGAACTACTTCCCCAACAAATTCAACAACCTTTCGTCTCTTCATTCCATTTACTCAACTGGATCTCCTTTGAAGCCCGAAAGCTTTGACTTTGTTTACGACCATGTGAAGAAAGATGTACTCTTGGGTTCAATTACCGGTGGCACAGATATCTGCTCACTCTTCGCATCCCATAACGCCGCTCTCCCTGTCTATCGTGGCGAGATCCAATGCCGCTCACTGGGCATGAAGATCGAGGCCTGGACTGCTCCAAAGACACCTGTCTTGGGCTCATCCGGTGACTTGGTTTGCTCTCGCTTATTCCCCTGTATGCCCGTCTATTTCTGGGATGATCCAGACAACAAAAAGTACAAGGCTGCCTATTTCGACAACTACATTGGCGTCTGGTACCATGGCGACTTTGTCTGGATCAATCCCAATACGGGTGGTATCGTCATGTTGGGACGATCCGATGGAACTTTGAACCCCAGTGGCGTGCGTTTTGGATCTGCAGAGATCTACAACATTGTAGACACTTATCCTGAAGTAGAGGACTCTTTGTGCGTAGGTCAAACGTCACCAGATGGCACAGATGAACGTGTGATCTTGTTCCTAAAGGTGGCTGGAGAGGCCGGCAAGGCCATGGATGCGCCATTGGATCTAGAATTGGTCAACAGAATCAAGACCCATATCCGAAACCAGCTTAGCCCTCGTCATGTACCAGCCGTGGTCCTCAAAATCGCAGATATCCCTTACACCATCAATGGAAAGAAGGTTGAAATCGCTGTCAAGAAGATCATTTCTGGTCAAACAGTCGTTCCTTCTGGAACACTCGTCAATCCTGAATCATTGGATCTTTATTACAATATCCCTGAATTGAAACAGTAGATGCATTATTTTTTTATTTTATTTTTATAGAAATTTCATTTTATTATAATTATTATTACATTGTACTTGATTTTGGTGTAATTGACGTTGACGTTGACGATGATGTGGATGTGGACGCCGCAGCGGCCAGCCGTGCAGCTTCCTCCAGTTGATGTTGTTCTTGCATCATCTGTTCCTGTTTGATCCGCATCTGTTTCTCTAGCTCCTGTTGATGTAATGCCTCCATTTTCCTTCTTTCTTCCTCTTTTCTCCTCTCTGCCTCTTGCTCCTCTGTCAACTGTGCATTCTTTGTTTGATCTTTTACCTGCTGATGCTGCTGTAACTCTCGAATCTGTTGAATTTGCGCCATCATTTGCTGTTGCTGTTGTTCCAACTGTTTCTTTTCAAGCTCCTCCTGACGTTGCCGCTCAAGTATGAGCTTTTGCTGCTGTTCAATGAGCGCTGCCTCTGCTTTACGTTGCTGCAAAAGTTGGAATTGACGACGCTCAAGTTCTTCTTTTAGTGATCTTGCTTGAGACTGGATGAGTTCATTTTCATCTGAAACTTTTTTATGCTCCTCTCGCTCATCTTCAAGACTACAGCGGAGGGCAACGATGTCCAGTGCATTTGAAGGACTGGTGTTGGTTGGTTTTGTTGCATTCGTTTTGACGAGGTTGTTATACCGCTTATACAGATCGTGAGCCTTCCTGTGGATCATAAGAGCCCTTGTATCAAGATCAGCTTAAAGAAGGAATAAAGAGAAAGACAAACAGGCTTTTAGTTTTTTTTTTTTTTTTTTTTTTAGAAATTAAAAAGTGCGATTAAGCATCTTTAATACAAATTCTCACCTTTCGACCGATTAGCAAATGCCGTAGCGTGCGCCTCAATATCTTGTGGTGGGTACTGAAAGACATGAAATGGTAACAAGCGCTCGATCGCATCGTGTAGAGACGAGAATGGCGTTCGATAATCTGGTCTCCTAACTTCTTTATGCGTCTTTTGGATTTCAAGCGCCATACTAGCACGAACATTATCATGGTGTTCTGCAATTTGTTGTTGAAGTCGCTCTTCGACCGCTCTGGGACCATCTGCTTCTGATGTAGCTTTCGATGTCGTAGAAAATGAGGGAAACGAAGGATCTTGTGCTGTACCTGCTGCGCCTGATGCTGTTGGTGTTGTACCTACCGTATTTTTTGCAGCGGCGGCAGCGGCGGCAGCAGCAGCTTGTAGTTGTTGTTGCTGTTGTAATAGTAATAATTGTTGACTCGCTACTGGGAACTGTTGTCGGAACATTGCTTCCTTATCCTTAAGTTGTGCCCTCAGCAACTCTAATGCTTTTTCTGCATCCAATAGATTCTGTTTCGCCAATTGTTGAGTCCTTGTATCTACAGGCTTGTTTTGTGCAAGTACTCTCTGAATTGTCAGTTGATGTTCGCGGAAAGTGTTGGTACTAGCTTGTTGAACCTCAAGCTGCTGATGAAGTTGATGAATGTCCTGAAGAAGTTTAAATTGACGCTTTTGGTCTTGCGTTGATAGTCCCCCAGAAGCATTCTGTTGCTGTAGTATCGATGATGGAGCCTTAGCTGGTGATGATGGAGTGGTTGAAGCCGTAGCAAGCGCCTGATAAGCCTGAGGACTAGTATTATTGAAAACAAGTGCCTGAGATCCTTGTCCTGCCACGGCTGTTGTTGTTGTTTTTGATTTGCTCTGAGGAGTAGGGTAAGGCTGTCCACTTCCCAATGTACTTGATCCTACAGTGCTCCCTTTGTGATCATCATTTTGATCTGATGTTTGTAGCACATGCTTTTTTTTAGAGTATTTCCCAGTTTTATTATAGCGTCTTGTTGTCTTTAGTGATCCATCTAGAGCACTGCTACTGGTAGGGGTAGTAGGCGTAGTTGGTGAAGATGCTGAAGGCGTTGAAGGGGAAGGCCCAGGGCTATTATTCATCTGTCCAAGCGGCGCTATAGGTCTATTGCCCTGTGATTGGGCTTGTTGTTGTTGGGATTGAACTTGTCCTTGCTGCGTCTGAGTTTGGGTCTGGGTCTTGGCCTGTGCTGTTGCAATATTTTGGACGGTGTTTTGCTGATGATGTAGTAAATTGATCTCTGCTAATAGTCTATCTCTCTGCTCTTTACTCAATGACTGGACAGACATATTATCGGGTAACTTATATATGACTTGATCCTTCGTCTTAATCATCAGTACTGTCAGTCCTGCCATTTGGATATGGGTCACAGTCTCTCCTTCTGATCCTGTGGCAACAGGAGGTATTGTTGGCGTCTTTTTTTAAATAAAAAAATAAAAATAAAAAAAAGAATGAACATAAGAAAGACAGCCATAATGATGCGTGTGTCAATAGGATATTTCTGGGCAGAAATGGGCGACTCACATTAGGTGTCGCCATAATGAAGGCCTAATTGCCTCTTGAGCCGTATTTTATGAAGATCGGTCTGTTGTTTAAAAGAATGTCAAATCCACTTCCAGCTTCTTTGCGGCTTTGCAGTACGTTGATCAAAAGTAGTTTATGGACAAATGTTTTCAACCACACAAGAAGAAAGGAAAAATGAAATGAAGTGTTGTAAGTGGCTTATAATATTTTCTAACACTTCCCTTTAGTGCATAGGTCATTAACATCGGTCCATTGATAGATCCCAAGGTCACTTCCTTCTTTTCCCCTTTATTGCTTTCACCTCTATTCTGCTTGGGTCTCTATAACTTCCTCCCCGGTCGCATTATTACTCCAAATTCGGTAGTGCCACTATTATATACTAATGATGCCCTACTGAACAACAAGTTTTGCCACCAGTGACCACACGTAGTAATATGTCAAATATATTCATAGCTGGCTGAGTCATTAACAACCAGTAGTGTGTACTACTCGTTGTCACTCATGTACCACCAGGTAGCAAATCTGTATGGATACTAATCCCTCGCATCCACATTATAATCCAAAACATCAAACTCTATCTATACTCCATTCATTGACATGGGATGTAGGATAGTGGTCCTTTTTTCTTATTTTTTTTTTTTTTTTTTTTTTTGATCGTCTGTCTGTAATTCACTTTAGGCGATAAATAAAAAGCCTTTATACCTTGATCCACAAGAGATTAGGATACGTTTCCTCTCTATAGTGAAATCTTTGTTTTCTCTGTCCTTGTTGCTCTTTCATAAATAAAGTTCCAATATTATTTATTTCTGCAATTAAGGAATATTTGCCTGTTAATAATTCCATAATAGCAATCTCCCTTCTTTAGATCTTTGATCTTTTTTTTTTTTTTTTTTTTTTTTTTAATTCATATTTTCTTTCTTCTTGCTCCACCATGCTCTATATTGTTGGCCTTGGTCTGTCTGATGAACACGACATTACTGTCAAAGGACTCGATGCTGTCAAATCATGCGAGCGCATTTACCTAGAGGCATACACTTCAATCCTAATGGTTGAAAAGGAGAAGCTCGTATGTCTGACCCTCCCTTTTTTTTTTTTTTTTTTTTTTTTTTTGAACGACAAGCTTTTTGATGATATGATATGATATGATATGATGTACACCAACTTTTTATTTATATTAATACCATCAATAATAAAATATAGGAAGAGTTTTATGGCAAGCCAGTGACAGTGGCTGATCGTGAGATGGTCGAATCTGATTCAGATACAATTCTTGCGAACGCTCAGAATGTCAATGTGGCTTTCTTAGTCGTCGGGGATCCCTTTGGAGCCACGACTCATACCGACCTTGTCATCCGTGCAAAGGAGCTCAACATCCCTGTTCAGATCATTCACAATGCTTCAATCATGAATGCCATCGGCGCCTGTGGTCTACAACTCTACAACTTTGGTCAAACTATTTCCATGGTCTGGTTCACAGAGACTTGGCGTCCGGATTCCTGGTACAGTAGAGTGAAGGAAAACAGAGATATTGGACTACATACGCTCTGTCTCTTGGATATCAAAGTCAAAGAACAATCATTAGAAAACATGGCTCGTGGAAGGTTGATCTACGAGCCTCCCCGTTACATGACAGTCAACACTTGTCTGGAACAGATGCTCGAGGTGGAAGAAAAGAGGAAAGAGAATGCTTATGGACCAGACACTTTAGCGATCGGATGCGTGCGACTAGGCACCCCAACCCAATTATTTATTTCCGGAACAATGGAACAGCTCCTTGAAGTGGACTTTGGAGCTCCTCTGCACTCTTTGGTCTTGATTGGACGTAGAATGCACATCATGGAGGCAGAAATGGTCAGAGCATTTTGTCCAGAGAAACATCGAGCCAAGTTTGATGAGATTTATAAGCGTGATTACGAGTCCTAAGAGAAAGACTCTTTCGACTAATATTTTTAGCTTTACTATCTCAAGTTTGGATCAGAAATACAAATACTTATTTTTCTTTCTTAATATTTAAGTGTATATATATAAATATAAATTCTACATTATCGCCATTTAACTAGAAGAAATTACAATATAGGAGACCATAATGGAGAGGGTAAAGGGGAGAGAGGAGAGAAGATAGAGGTTTGCAAATGTAGCGGTTATTAGTTTTTATAAACAGCATGAATCGCTTCCTCGACAGGCTTAATGACCAATTCTGGATAGTGTTGCTCTTTCATCATATCCAGAGTAGCGTAAGCTTGATCGAGCATGTTGTTCTCAAGATACGCAAACACCATACTCTGAAAAGTCGAGGGTTCCTTGACAATAACATTAGCTGTATTGCCATTGCTCGAATGTGAATCCGCCATGCCGTTGAAAATCTGTTCTGCAGCCAAAATATCCTGCGCTTGACCAAAGCCACGGATCAGCGTATTCTCAATGTACGTACTCGAGGGGTGTCCTGATGCCACAAGCTCATTTCGTAGTTCGATAGCGCGACGGACATCTCTATTAATGATATGGCTCTCAATCATAGATTGGTATGCAGGCCCCTTAGGCATGATGCCAGCCTGCAACATATTATTGAAGACGACTTCAGCTGTGCAAACATCTCGGTGCTCGACGCCATATGCATGAATTAGCGCTCCATAGTGGGATTCAGTCGCTTGAATGGGCCCATTTTTCAATGAATGAACAAGACGATTGGCCTCAGTCATATCGTAGGGTGGAATGCACGCGAAAGCCTCAATCAATAATGTGTACGTATGTTCTGTAGGAGAAAGCTTCCTGTCAAGCATGTCTCGATAGTACACCAATGCTGCCTCTCGATCTTTCTTTTGGCGAACATAAAATTGAATCATGGCGTTGTGCGGTCCCTGGCGCGGATGATAATTGGGACTATTGGTCATTTCTTTAAACAAATTCCGTGCCATTTCTTCGCTTCCAACCCTTGTACAGGCGCTGATCAAGGTTCCATAAGTAATAGCGTTGGGTCGAATCTTGTTCATAATCATATCTTCATAAACCTCCAAAACGCGATCAATCTTGCGCCCACGAGAAAGCTTTCCAATGACAACGTTGTAGAAGAAAATATTTGGCTTAATATTATGGCGTTTGACTTCTTCCAAAATCCTGAGTGCATCATGAGCCTCATCTACCGCCCCCGTAGTCGTTGCAATCAATAATGTCGCATATCCAGTTGCATCAGGAAACTGTCCCAGCTGAACAATATCATCATAGTTCTTTTTGGCAGCTTTCATATCTCCCAAGGTGGCATTAGCGACGAGCATTGCATTATAGACCTCATATTCAGCTGCCCGACGATGGGTTTTGTCCTGAATAGTATCCAATGAACGCCTGGCAATATCATACAATTCATGATAATTAGTCGCCCTTTCCTTTTCTCTTTTTGCACAGACTTGGATTGTGTCAGCGATAGCTTGAGGTGAGGGTAGTTGATCATTTTTGATCATCTTTGAGATTTCTTCCAACGCTACAGCGGCGTATCCGAAGCGACAGGCACGAATAATCGCTTCTGAAGGATCACCATATCGAAGAGCAATCAATCCCTGCGCATCATGCATTTTAAGTGAGCGGCGATTACTAGTGCTGCTATTGCCGTGGGATACTTGGCGCTTATGTTGATGCTGAGCCTGAGTGCGGTAATGGGTCTGAGATTGACGCGACTGTTTCTCCTGCTGCTGTTGTCGTTGCTGCGGAGAATCCTGGCTTACTTGAAAGTTATCAGGTATATTGGGTTTAAATCCTGGATATATTTCTTGCACAGCTGTATCCCATGCGAGCTGTCCCGAATAATCTCCCAGTGTCATGAAAGAAAGTGAAATCTTTGAGCAAGCCTCTTCACTGGGTGTAATATCCATCTCCTTGCCATCCAAAAGAATCTCAATCAAGTGTCGATAACGGATACTGCTCTTCGTGAGTGTCGCTTGCATCGCTAACAGCGCTTCAAGATCTGAACAATCTAGCATCGCCTTGATTGATTCAAGCCCTGTAGAGGCTTTCAACTGACGATAAGTCCTCAGAGTCCTGTCAGCCAGCTCTGAAAATGCCAACAAGTCATGTCTATCATAATATAAATGAGTAAAATTGCAGTCCAAAATCAGTGTCTTGACTAGCTTTCAATTAAACCAACTCTTTCTTTTGGGTATGTTGTTTGTTTGATGGTTACTAGAGAACTAAAGACGAATGAAGCCTCATCGAAATGTTACTACATCGTATGAATATCGCTATAAATCCAAATATGGCTCATTACCTATCAAGCAATTTTGCGACAGAGAGCGCCTGTGAGAAATCGCTACTATAATTAACAATTTCCCTTGCTAGTGCGACAAAGACTTGATTCTGTGAAAAATTCTGTTTTCTCCCTTGACTATGGTAGCAATCAACAAGAAGAGCAAGAGCTCTCTCAGCGTCCTGAGGGTTGTTTAGATTTAGAAACTGTGTGACGATTCGACTTGAGAGAGCCGCATCAGCATAGAAGCCTTGCCGACGCATCTCGTGTAGGAATGGAAAGACAGCTCTAGCATCTTGACCATTAATGGCATCCCAGGCATTCTTAGAGAGTTCACTATGCTTTGGGGGCGACTTTGCACCATTGCCATTAACTGTGCCATCTTGTTGAAGAGGCTGATGATTATGGATTCGTGATGTCTGTTGATAAAAATTGAGATTGGCTGCAATGGGAGTTTGAAATCTATGTCCCGAAGCAAAATGATGGTTGCTATAATAGTGTGTTTGGCCGTGGTGATGAGCTGTAGTGTTTGTATTGGCATTGTTATTTTCTCTATTGGCTTGTGATGACGAAAAGGAGCGGACAGGATTGGCAGGTGTATTAGCGCCCGTAGGCTGTGCGGTGCGCTGGGTGAGATTGATAACCTGATTCTTAGAATTGGAGATGGGGGCCAGCTGCCTTGATACAGTCTGACGAGTAATATTTCCAAGTAATGCAGTCGTCTTAAGGTTCATCATCATGGAAGTTGCAGTTGGGCAATATAAGCTGAAAATGAACACCAAGCTGCTGCGGAACAAGAATCACACTGAATGAATGCTCAGATGAATCAAATGGCCAAAAAAAAAAGAAATCGAGCGAAAGAATACAGATGCCGTAAAAAGGGGAGGATAGGGGAGGATAGGGGAAAGGAAGGGGAAGGGTGAGAGAAGGGAAGGGTGAGAGGAAGGGAAGGGTGAGAGGAAGGGAAGAGAATGTGGAAGAGAGAGAGAAACAAAACATCAAATACGAGACTTGTGACAAGTCATGCACATAACCACGTGACAACATTTTTAATTTTATTTTGTAAAAAAAAAAAAAAAAAGTGTTACATGAGACATGAACACCTTTAGGGTTGTGAATTGTTGGTTACTGCTGCCTTGCGAGCAAAATTCCGTGCACGGTAAAGCGCCAAGTAAGCAACGTGGAAGTCTCCTGTGGTAGCAAGTGTAAATTAAGGTCATTAGAGTCAATTACTATTATTGTTTTTCATTTGTCATCAAAATAGTGAGTCCATGTAAGTACACCAGATTTACCTCCACCATCAAGCTTGAGAATATCTTCCTTTGAAACTGGCGAGACCTTATCGTCGTCATATTTGTACCATTCATCTTCATCCCCTTTTTTTGTCCAACCAATATAGTGTCCAGAGTCAGCTGTTCGTCCAATATGCGTAAGTACTGCGGCAAGCTCATACTGGCCAGATGGATTTGAGCCTACATCTTGTACCAATTCTGGATCCAAAGATTGCTCTAACGCCTCAAGGGCAGCATCGACAGCCTTTTGTTCATCTGAGGTCTTACTCGCCTCCTCACGGCCAGCTTCTTTGTCCAGTCGTTTCCGACGCTTCAAGGATGCCTCGGCATTATCCAGTTCTCGAAGCTTCACTTTGGTATTTGTCAGCTTAGATTGAAGCTCTGGAGTACAAAATTGGGAAGCATCAAGCTCGAAAGGGAATTTAACCTTGCGTAAAATCTTGGCCTTGACCTGCTCATTTGCCTTCCAGAAAAACCGGACAAAGTTGACAGTTAAATAAGCAGGCAGTCGAGAGATTCTCTGAGACTTTGAGTAGATAGCTGATCTGCCCAAAGTTGGGGAGTTTTTTTCAATCTTTTGGTCCAAGAATTCCAAAATCCCGTTGTGCAGGTAATTGACATCTATCGGTTAAAACATGAGGCATTTGTTCGCCAAATAAACTGAGAATTGTGCTTTTGTGGATTGGATAAAGTATTGTAGAGGCTCAACAGTCCATAAGCAAGACTTACTACTGGAAATATGACAATCAAGCTTGGAAAACGGCTCCTTGGTAATAATTACATCCTCATCTGGTGCTTCATCGCATTTCAATCTAAAATGACAATAATGCGCTATAAGACACTCGTTTGCAGCCTTGTCAACTACTTCAAATCATCACTATTGCCTTTGTGCACATACGTTGTAGTAAATTCTCCTTGCATAAACTGAGCAACCACGTTTTGCTTTCCCTCAGCATGTGGAGGAAGCTTTGCCTTCAAAGTTGAAATAAGTTGGCTCCAGCACTCTTCTGCGTCCTGCTGCATCCATACGCCATCGCGTCCTTGCTGAGAAAACTGGGGGAACGCCCTGCGTAAATGCTGTGGTGATGTTATAAAATCGAAATAATTAGAGTAAATACACAATACCACCTGTAAAAAAAAAAAAAAAAAAAAAAAAAAACGGAACGCTTTATTTTATAATAATATGTATCGTCTCAACTTACTGTTAGGAATCCTACAGGCAATACATCATGACCAGAAGTATTGAGCTGCCTATAAAGATCTCTCAAGGATGCTGTCATGTTGCTTGCAGTATCCAAGTTATCCGTCCCACCCTGATATTTCTGTAAATCTTGAACCAACTCTGGAACAGCGCGAAGACATTGAAGGGTGGCATTCTAAAATTTGAGAACCATTATGAGATTTATGTGAGTATTACACATGTTAGGTTGACCAATGTAGCAGGACTATCTATTGCATGATCATACCATGTAGCAAGTATTGCCTAGGTTTGTCAGTCCAACAGGGATGTCCATCTATGTTAACAATGACGGAAGTAGGTTAGAGGGTGCAGAAATCCCTTTAAGGCCGCTTTCTTTTGTCTTTAGCTCAACTTTCTTTATACATACCGCCTTATTGAGAGTAGCCTCCGTCATATCTTCTGCAAAAAGGATTTTCTTCTCTGGTGCCTTTGGAAGCTCTCCTGCAGTGCCCATCATCTATATTATAGTTGAGTAGGTAAGTGTTATTAAAGGCTTCGTTCGCAGGTAATGCAATAGACGGATAATTGTGGCATATACCATGAAAGTATGGCCCTAAATAGAATACACGACGAAGGATCAATTAGTGATTTTGAACATCATGGCGACTTGATCATATTGATCAGATTGTTTAGCAAGCAAAAACACTCACATTTTTCAGACCAAGCTTATTCATATCGGCGTCATCCTAAAATTCAAAGTGAAATATATAAGCAGCTGTGATACTCAATCATAAACATCACAAATCTGCTATCTCTCTTTTTTTTATATTTACCTTAAGAGTACCACCCTTGACAATGATTTTTTGTCTATCAGGTTCGACTCCTGTCAATGCGAAAAGCTGTGCCTTAAAGACTAACCCAGGTTCATCCAAGTTAAGTTCAAGGTCGTCAAACTTCTTTCCACTCCATTTGACATTTACTATTAAATTCATAATGTCGCAAAATAATTAGTTGCCTTAACATTCCACGACACTTTGGATAAAAAAAATGCTTTATTTAGTTTATAAAATATCGTGATACCTTTGATAGTATTTGCAGGAGGCATATTGTGGGTGTTGAAATTCAGATGTGTAACAGGTATGAAGAAGGGTGAAGTATTTGGCACACCAGAGTACTGGAGAATAGACCACTGACATGCAACTCAAAATCCACTGAAACTACGTCATCATCAGGCGCAAACGCACGTAATGCAGCCACATTTGGACGGATCTCAAACTAGTGGGTGATATTCAACACGATGTAGCCAAAAGGCTTTACCTACAGCCAAGGCTAATATTCTAGGGCATAAGCTATAAAAGCAATTCATAAATAATAAAGACAAGCTTCACTTGTCTTGGTGCATTGGAATACTCAGCAAAGCCGAAACCAAAGCCTCAAGGAGAGAGCAGACCGCCTACGATGTCATTTACAGATCCTGTATTAGATGAGGTGGTTACGGTGCTCAAATTGTCGGTTGCGCTCTGATCCTCCCACACAAAGGTCTGTGTTGCCAGGTAAACAGGGCGTTATCTTGCATCATTTCCTTGCTCTTGATACTGTACTATGGCGATCGGGTACTAACGCACTTGCTCTAACCAACTCCACAAAGTTGCCTAGAACCAATTTCAAGATTTTGACCAATTTGGATTCATATCCCAAAGTTCAATGGCATCCTCCTTCATCTTTACAGCACTCCGAGCTTCAGTAGAGAGGCAATAAGCACCACCGATAGAAGATGCGGTCCTAGGAGGTAGATTGTCCGCTGCTATCCATCCGCATTTGATGGTGTGAAGTTATTCAATTTAAGAAGGTAGCAACTGAAGGCGGATACTGTTCGTATGAATGGATCCTCCTAAAAAACATCCACGTTCAGATTGAAAGCGCCTTATCTGATAGCTTCAATATGTTGTCATACGCTCCCCTATGTTATCGTCATGGCTCTGAACTGATTGCGTTGGCATTTATGTTGTTTCTCATAGCTTGTTATGTCAATAATTAGGTTCGTGATGAAACATCCAGAAGCAGACTGGAAAGCGGAATACTAGTGACATCCTGAATTAAGCAATATGGCTCTACAATCCCAAGCGTAGGTTCCGCTTAAGCTTGGAACATTGCTTTCAAAGCATCATTCATTCGAAAGAGTTTTACGCTACGAAGCCGTGTTGCATGGGCAAAACAGGGGCCAGCGATCCAGTGATCTGGCTTAAAGGAATGAAGCTTTGAACCGCAGAAATGTTTTGAGCTGAATCGACTTGTAAATCATTAGATTCCTAACCCTTGTTCCTTTGTACTTTTAACATTGTCATTAATGATATAATGGCAGAGATGAATTCTCATTATAATGAACATCCCATCAACCCGACCGTCACTGCCTTCTCGTAAAATTTAAGTGATCTTTTTATATGCTTCCTGTATTCGATAGATAGTAATGATATGATAGATGCCAGCAGCTCGCCCCTTGTATATGGCGTTCTTTTTTTCCCGATCGTTACACTTCTAGGATTTGTCAAACCGGGACCGATAGTTTAACAGCATGTTTTTGCTTACCACTAAATCCTGGAAGCTGAGCCTGAGACCTCCCTTTGTCATATTGACTACTTGAGCACATTCGAGCTCGTTGGTGATGTTGCTTTATCATTAACTGAGACAGCAGGGCAAATGATGTTCAGTAATTTCCTCTTATTGCCTGTAATTTTGAAAAAGGAGATATTGTAAAAGCTTTCCGACGAATTACTCAGAAGCCATTGCCTGCCTTGAATTGTATTTATAACTGGTTTCGCTTTGCAAAGAGACAGAAAGATGATTATGAAAGCCGCCTTATCCTTGTAAATGGTGTCATATGACGGGCTATTTTCACTTAACAATTTAACAATATCAGTTTGATACATGGGTTTGTCAAAAAAGATGCCTTGGGACATTGAGTTCAAACATATGATTACTAACATTGTATTTGCCTCAACTCTTGATGCGCCTCAGTTTTACTAATCTTATGTTCCTTCACGTTTTCTAGTCTTTCGATAATTCCCTCATTGGTGGCGTGAGCGATGTAGAAGTAGTATTATATTCAGCCCTGGTCTGCTTGTAATAAACACCATTTAGGATGAACCGATACGATCAAGTTCATACTGATAGCGAGTTTGCGATCCAAATAGTCCTTAGCAATAGCTTTAGTGTCTACACTTAACATAGACGATCGTAACTTGCCCGTGAGTAAGCGTAAAAATCTGGTATATCATTTTGCATGTTTTATACACTTCACTTTATTGTACATTTTATTTTATATTTTATTTTACATTTTATTTTACATTTTATTTTATATATACAATAATGAACATGACATGTACTTCTTTTTTTATAATTCATTTTATTTATTTTTATGTTGCCGAGATAAAATCGACATTTTTTGCTGACATTGCAGAGGGTTTGAGCTGTGCCTGCTTAGTCCAAGAGCCCCCTGCCGCTGATGGAGTAGGGGGCTTCTCTTGAAAAAAAGGGCCATAGATATGAAGAATCAATGTCCTGCAGACTCCATACTTAGAAAGATGTGTATGTAACTAGCAGGGCAGAAAACAACATGTTTTGAAGATGTCCATATGGATTATAATTGGGACAAGATGACTGAGGAGTTTGGATGGGTGCAGATGTTTATTTTATATTCACGCCCCAAGTATGCCATAAGCCTTTAACTTCCATTTCCTGGTTTGTGAAAGTGTAAATGTTTTCAAGATGAGTATGTGAGAAAAAAAAAAAAAAAAAAAAATAGGAAGAAGGAAGAGAAAAATCGAGGCACATGCAGCTTAGATGCGTTTAATCTTCTTTGAAAAGAAAAAAGCTGCTCTTTTCTTTTGAGCGTGCGACATTGCTGCATGCTTCTAACCTTTTCTTATTTATTTACAATCGAGGTTGCGTAGGGGGGGGGGGAACAAAGACCTTCTTTCAGGTAAACATTTGCTACTGCTACAACCTTGATCGTCATGCTTCAGAAGCAATTGCCATCAGCAAAAAAGAAATGCTTGAAGTGTAGAAGACGAGTCACGTGTGGAATGTTTCCCCTGATGTTAATAACCTAACATGTCTTATTTAAGATGTTTCGGGTTCTGATATTTTTAAAAGACGGGATCAGGTCCAAAGTTTTTGTATTATTTCTTGGAACAGAAAGGTGTTACTTGTACACAAGAGAGGCTTGTGCGTGTGTGCAAGATTTGGAGGAAAAAAAGGGATCTGTACCACCATGATCTGAATAAGAAAAAGATGAGTAGACCTGACCGAATACAGACTAACAGCGAATCACATCCAGGATGTAAAAAAGAAAGAGGCGAAGCTATTTTATTCAAAGAAACAAAAAAATATCTTTGAAACTGATGTGTTTTTGTATAAAAAATATGATCCATGACTTCATTCATACGCTCTTTTTTTATTTATTTATATTCAGAATAATTTGTTCGGCGGAAGGAGACATGTGTGACAACATCTTTTTGACTCGATAGTTTGAACATGACGTGCAATTGAGTTTGTCTGAAGGTTCGTTTTTTTGATGCACACCCACAAATACACAAACACAAACACAAACATACAAACATACACGCAAAATATTCACTCCTCACTCCAATGTCTATACCTTCCTTTGCTCCGCTCTCTTTCTCTGCAAAGCCTGGAACTACTGCAGAAAAAGAGAGCTAAAAAAGAAATAAAAAGAGAGTGAAAGAGAGAAAAAGAAACAGAAAGGAGCCCTTTTGGCATTACATATACACTCATTCATCCATTCATCCAAACATTTATACATAATCTGTTAAAAAAAAGAAAGGAAAAAGGAGACAAGAGCAAGACAGGCAGAGTAGGGCACAGGGCAAGGGCAGGGCAGGATAACAGCGTCTGTCGGGAAAACAACAGACGAAACTGGTGCATTAAAAAAAAAAAAGAAGAGAAAAGTAATCGTCCCGTTCATCCATTCATTCAATCATTCATCTATTCATCCATTCCATCTCTTCCTCACTCTTTCTCGTGTTTATCCAGTTCCTTCCTTTCTATCCTACCAGTCGAGTGTAGTCTCTCACTTACTCACTTCGATGTTTTAGTCCAATTAAATCGATACTTGCACTACACCTTCCATAAAACGCACACATTCGATTCGACTCTCATTGTCTTTAACGCTCCGTGTGGTTGAAGGAGTAGCAACATTGCAAGAACAGCAGATCTGGAATCGCAATGTCAAAATCTGGGGCGCCGTCTACTTCTGTCTCTGCCTCCATTTCAGCCTCAAGTCATGATCCTCATTCATTACCACCCAATGTCAAGGGTCTGGTTCAGCGATTCCTTGCTGTCAGTATCCCTACTATCACTCTAACCCCCGAATTAATTGATGTTCTCGATAAAGCTGAAGTCATTATACCACAAAGGCTGCAAGTAACTATGCGATGGTGGAAAGAGGACAGTGCCTTTTCACTTTCAGTCTATCCTAAACTGAACAGTCCCTTTCCTGAGCTAATTGCTCGTCGACAAACGCTTCTGAGACAGCGTCAACAAAAACAGATTGCTGAAATTGAACGTCAACGAGGGCAACCACAACCACAACCACAACCACCACAACAACATCAGCAACCACAATACCAACAGCAACAACAACAGCAGCAGCAACCACAACAACAACAGCAACAGCAACAAGGGCAGTCCGGTATTGTTAACATCTCCATCGATCCAAAGCGAGTCGTTACACAGACACAACCCATACAACCTCCAATAGAATCCACCCCGGCGTTAGCGCAAGCTCACATGCGTCCACCAACACCATCATTTTTACGACGTGGAGCTCGCCTGTTGAAAATCTTCAAACGAAGTAAATCAAGATCTACGGATCAAGGTGCTTCGGACCCAGCTTCAACGACAAAAAGCGGGGACACAGGCGGAGAAGGAGAAACCGCTGCTTTTGAAACTACGGAGAGGCACGATCCTCCTGTGCACGAACGCAAGGATACTATTACCTCTCGTACTCCTGTTAATTCGGTAGAGCCAGAGACAGCGGCCAAACCTTTGCCCTCTTTACCTGACGCTGCTTACCCTATCACTGTAGCTTATCCAATTCGTTGCTCCTTAGAGCAATTACGCAGCTACTTTGTAGATATGACTTCACTCACTCTTGAGATTCAGATCACGCCAGAGTTGTCTGTGCTCGCCACGGTGTCCAACTTGGTTGATCTCTTCCGTAATATCAACGGTACCTTCTCAGGTGTCTTCCCCTTTTCAACCGTCCTACAAAACGATAACCCTCAGTTCAAACAGGAAAGGCTATTTCAAAGACGCGTGGTGCTCGGAATGGTAGTCTTTCAAGCATGGTTTCAAGATACTTCTGATGTCGCTGATGACTCTGAGGACTCAGACTCCATTTCAACGAACTCTATGCTTGCGATACTGGCCGAAAATGCACCCGGCGCTATTGCACACCACCCCCAACCACCTTACTATAACCGTCAGCCCAGTCATTATAACCATTATAACCATCATAACCCTCATCTGCGTCCAAACTTTCCAGTAGACCCACGCCCCATGCCTCAACAATACCCCCAGCCATCTCATGGTCCATACCCATTCACAGGTGCTGTCCATCCTCCTATTGGACCTCAAACCCATAATCATGCCCCATCCCATTCACGAATTCCACAGCCATACATGCCACAACACTACAATGTTGCCCCACCTCAGCCATCTTCAGATCGACGATATTTCGACTATAAACATCCTGCAGAGCACCATGGGCGTGAGCCCCGAATTTCTATGCGATATGGTGAAGATGACAGCCATCACAGACATGAATGGCAAAGAGGTGCAAATCCACGAAATAATAGACGTGGGCCTCAGGATGAAGAAGATTACTCATCAGAGGAACATCTGTCGCACACAGGTAGATACTATGCAAGTTTAGCGACAAGCGCAGCGAATGCTGATGCAGCGGCAAGGACACAGACACACGCACACCCAAGTGCTATGATGTACAACGCCAATCCTAGGGTTCATGTGTCTCAGCATGGATTGCAAAGGGAGCCTCAGTCATTCAACCATACACGACAAGTTCGCCCACAGGCTTCTCGCGAAACTAATATCACGAACACTCATAGCCAAAGTACTCGCTCTCGACCACGAGCTGGCGCAACAGCAGCAGCTATCGGCCGCCTCGAGTCTGTACTTGCTCGAGGAGAACATCTACTTCAGGGTATGTAAAAAATAAGAAAAAAATAATTGGAGTATATCATTGGCTATTGCCAGCAGTACTCAGTTGTAATCTAAAACTCCCATTATGATACCGTATACCGTATACAAACCACAGGTATGAGAACCAGCTTAGCCCTAGATCCTGAGGAAGTACGCTCAATGTCTGCAAGAAATATTCGATCCAATAATGGTAGCTATGGTGGCCATCGGAATGAACAATTCATGCCATATCACGAGGTTCTTCCGTATTGGCCATCCAAGTCTAAATTTAGCCTAGAAATGAGCATTCCAACGGCCTACCTCACCTCTCGAGGGCTTTTGAAAGGAGCTAGACGCCGGAAGGACTCCACTGATGCGGACCCTAGCAACAACACCTTCGACAGCAGTTCGACCTCACAACGCCTTCGATCAACTCGATCGGAACGGGGGCGAACACTCCCTCGGCAAAGCCCTCTTCCCTCATCTAGTGCGCATGGACGATATGGCGGTGATACGCAGCAACATCAGCGGCATCAGCAACAACCACAGCAGCGACAGCAACAACAGCAACAACAGCAACATCAACAACATCAACAACAGCAACATCAACAACATCAACAACATCAACAACATCAACAACATCAACATCAACAGCAACATCAGCAGCAACGACAACAGCAGCAGCAACAACAGCAACAGCAACAGCAGAGCCGTCAAGGCTATACAAATCAGCAATTGAGCAATCCTGTGCCTACCTCGACATCTAGGCCTTTGCGACGCTCTGGGAAACCAATACAGCCTGATAGGCATTCTCCTAGGTCTGATTTAGCTAGGTTACGAATGGTTCAAGAAGAGTCAATGCAACCACAATATCATTCTTTTGGAACTGGGCCATCGACATCCGATTTAGGTGAACGAGGACAACCGCGACCTAATCAGCCATCTTTCGCAGACACACATGATTCGCCATACTCTCAAAGACATCCTCCTAGGTATCAGCCAGCTGCCGACTGGCCATCTCAGCAATCGCCTCGTCGACCACGCAAGTCAAAATCCTACCCACAGGACCAGTCTCGATCGAGTCGACATGGTCGTAGACGACTCAGTTCTAATGATCGACTCCAGTTAAGGATGAACCCAAAGGCTGGCGATATGCTCAATTATATCCCAGGCTTGTTCCCAAGTCGAAGCATGTCTGCATTGTTGGTACCGGAATATCATTCATCTGTGGAAGGTAGCACCAGCTTTAGCTCGGAAAATACCAGCTCAAATGAAACAGAGGAGGATGAATGGCCTCGATCGTTTGGTTCTGGAGATATGGGCGGCCGGCAATCCCGCCTCCAGAAGAGGCCCCGACGTACATATCGTCATCATCAAGGCCTGCATAGCCCTAAACGCCATCAGTCACAAAGGTTTCAACAACAACAGTCGAGAGATCCAAGGCAGTCAGAGAAAAGTGGAGGCCGAATGAATAGAGTGCACCCACAACACTTCAATTTTAAAGTGAATTGTCAGCTACAACTTACACCTGAAGTCATGGCGGCATGTATGGTTGAAAACATTTCCATTGAGGTCTGGAAACTGAATAGTAAACGAAAGACTATGGTCGAGCTTGGATCTGCCAAGCTGCCGCTGCACAAAGTCCTGAGTCGCATCATGCAGAAGACTGCACCTACAACGCAGCCTCTTCATCCGAGATCTGAAGGTTTACGGCAACAGCAGCCGTTGTATGGCGACTCACGAACAGCAGCTGGTGGATACCACTCTATGGCAGAGAGAGATGGAGTGAAGGAAGGGTGGCGATTAGAGCCTTCAGTATATGATATTCGGTCTAGACAAGGCACTATTATTGGTCAATTGGATGCTGACGTATGGATCATCCCACGATCGCGTTCAGATTCGATGGTCTCTGCCGCCGCATGAACGAAACGAAAAAAAAAAAAAAAAAAAAAAAAAAAAAAAAAAAAAAAAAAAAAAAAACTACACACATAGACTTAGATGAACAGCTATTTGAACTTTTAATCACTCGTAATCCTTAATCCTTAATCCTTAATCCTTAATCCTTAATCCTTAATCCTTAATCCTTAATCCTTAATCCTTAATCTTTAATCCTTAATCTTTAATAGTACCGACTCATGCATAGATAGATTTCCCTTAATGATAATATGAATGCAAACTTGTTCATTGGAAATGAAAAAGAAAAAAGAAAAAAAGTATAGTAATAATAATAAAAAAAACACGAAATGGGACATTATAATAGCATCCTTCTTCAATCACAAACTTTTTAGAACTTTGTGTGCTTTGGTTTTTCAGGTACTGAAGCCTTGTAACCAGGAAAGTCATAATCGATCCCTAACTCAGCCAATTTAGCTCTCTTTGCAGCCTCATTCTTCAACAGCTTCTTCTTGATTTGATTCGATTGAACTGTCGTCTTCTCTGCATTATGCTTTTCCTTAGCGATCTTGAGCCAAGGAATTGCCTTGAATTTTTTGTTAGCGCCCGAAAACATGGCTGGGTGGATTTGAGATGGCTGCAGGGCCTTACATTTGAGTTGGTGCCCAAAAAGCAAATAGTTGTTCATGGTATCTGCAACGATCTCTGCGACCTCTTGTGATGCAAACTCAATAAAGGCGTAGTGCTTGGATTTCCCTGTCTTCTTGTTGCGCGACAAACGGAGTCGGAGAACCTTACCGAATTGAGAAAAATAGGCCTTCATTTGTTCTTCATAAAATCCATGAGGGATACGACCCAGATAAACAACCCCTGTAACTACTTCCTCCTGCTAGAAAAAGAGATAAAAGTATTCATGTAAATTCATGGCTGAAGGTTAAAGACTGGAACGGTATATTCAAAAGATTTGAAAGCGATATCTTTATGACGCTTCGTCATGATTAATCAGTCACGAGGAAAATACCTTTGGCTGACCAATTGTCGCGAGTTTTTTCTTGAGTGCTGCTGCCGCCTTTGGGCTGAGTGAAATCTCATCCTTCATACTGGCGAACATATCCTCCTTAGCTTCCTCATCTCCATCATCATCGTCACTTGAGCTATCTTCATCAGCACTAGAATCAATGTCCTTAAGTAATGCCCTATCATCCATTAATTGCTCATCTTCATCGTCATCCTTCTCTTGCTCTTCCTGCTCCTGATTTAGCTTCTGCTCTTCCTTTGATGCAGGTGTTTCAATAGTATTTGTGGTATTTTTCTCACCAGCTTTCTTTTTGCCGACGATTTTCCCCGGTGTGGTCTTTGTTGTAGTAGTCTTCTTTAGATTAGCGGGTGTTTTAATTTCCTTTTTGGCAGGGCCTGTGGTAGGCTTTTTTGTAGCTCTATCTCTGATGGCAGGTGTAGTCGCTTTTCGTTTACTGCTGTTAGCGGTAGGAGTTGCTGAAGCGGGCTTTGAGGCAGGCTTTGTAGCTGCTTTTGATGCTGTGGATGCTAAATAATAACACAAAACAGAAAAAAAAAAGTCAATTCCAGGGCAGAAACAAATGAGGACCTGAAAAGCAGAAGTATTTATAGTTCATATTCCTGGAACATACCTCGTGTACTGGCAGGCATGTGCGCTGATGTGTTGTTGAATAGGGTTAGTTGGTTAAGATGAGAGGGAGTGTGGTGCGGACTGAAGGTTCAAAAAAAAAAAAAAAAAAAAAAAAAAAGCAAAGGACTGCTCAGATGTAAACATTAAGCCACAACGACTGTAGCATTTAACGTACTCAAAATGAGGTAAAAGGGCCTTTCCGGCAAATGAGACGTCAGTTTGTGGACAAATATTAACCTTGTCAACATTCATTCTTCCACTTTACACATCATAATATTTATACAAGGAGACATGTACAGCACAAGGTCATTGATTGCCACACTTGCAACAAAACAGTTGTCGCGCTCAACTCCAGCCGCATCACTTCACACAGTCCCTGCTTTGGCGGAGGAAAAGCGAGGTTTTCTCTCAAGGCTGAACCCTTTTGCTAAAACTGAGACCAAGCCTGTGCAGCCACATGTTAAGGCTTCTGAACTTGCTGGGAAATTGAACGTTGAAATTGAAGAGGATGAGGATAAGAAACCTGCACCAAGGTAAGAAGAATAAAATAAAAAAGGTATACATATTGCTGCATCTAAGTACAGAATTTGTTTTATAACATGTTATTTGCAGCTGGAAAAGTGCACGCCAGATTTTAACCGCAGATCAACTCGAGGAATCCATCCGATCTGCTGCATCACCTTTCCTCGACACCAGCTCAAGTCTTTATCTAAACCAAATCAAGTTAGGAAATGATCCGCGGCTCAAATTCAAGGTAAAGAAGCTATACATCGTTTATCGCTGATATTATTGACGATTTCTTTACTTATTATTTTCAATTTGCTCTTCTTTCTGTTTTATGTTGGATTGTATTCCATGGTATCTGCTCATGCTTTTTTTTTTTTTTTTTAAAAAAAAAAAAAATTATAGGTCTTGAAAGCATGCGTGGTTTCTACAGGACATGAGATCCCCAATAAAGAAATTGCTTCAATCCACAACCTCAGGGACGTATTTACAACCTTACAAAGGCTTGAGCAGGAAAGAAGCGCTCTTCCTGAGAATCCACAAGGACATATCGTAGCAGAATGGTTCGAGAAGAATAAGACCACATTACCATCCAATATGATCTTTATTCCCTATCAAAAGTCAAGGAATGTCAAAAAGGAAAACAGAACGACCACCAATAAGCGGTTTTTGTAGTTGGAGCAAAAAAAAAAAAAAAAAAAAAAAAAAAAAAACGATAATTCCTTGTCTAGGAAATATGCTATGGATTCAAATAAATAGATCATGATTCAATTTTTTTTACAAGCTCAACACACTTTCTTAAACTATAGCCAAGCTAGCCATCTATCTCCATCTGTTCTACTTGCTGCTGTTGCTTTCTGGATTTTTGAGACGCTTTCCAAGCTTGAATTTTCTCACGAAGCTCAATATCTATCAAATAAATTCAAAAATGGGTTTAAAAAGTTTGCATTGCTTTCTTTTACTGCACAAAGCATCGACCAAGCATTATCAATAATTAGATGATAGACTTACTGTCAACAACATCACTGATTTTGAGTGGCATGCGGTTAAATGGATCTGTCGAGTCAGATAATAGATGGGATTTGATGGTGCTTCTGTCGATAGAGATATTGGAAGTAGGTAATAAAACAGGATCTTCCATGAGAGTAAACAGTAGCGGATCTAAAGTTGTTTCATCAGTAAAGGAAGAGAATAATTAGATCGAGTGCATACTTCTTCAGGCCACTAATATCAGAGCTAGATTCTCATGTATACCCAAAAATTCCTCTGGAATCTCGCCCAATTCCTCTTCGTCCTCTGCTCCTTGCTGTCTCATATCTTCGACCTTTTGGACAAGCCTTGTTAACTGGGCAATTTCGTCAGGACTTTTAAGATTACGTCCTTCTAAAATACGGCTAGCCTTATGGAAGATGCTTGCTTTGTAGCTTCGGTCATCCCGAGCTAGAGCTGCGATAAACTTTGGACAGTCCAAATGTAAATAGACTGATATGATATCTGAAAGAAGAGTACGGGGTTGGAAGCGGTATTCTTCTTGGTTTTTAACCTAAATCAAATACAAAGGCCCCACCCAGATAAAAGTAACGGATTAATGTCTCCAATAGCGCTTGAGTACATAAATACAAAAAAAAAAAAAGAAAAAAACTATTGTTGGACATGGGCCCTAACAAACCTTTAGAGTCGACATCTTCTCTCCGACCAATATTACAAGGTTGTAGTCAAGCATGGTGGCTAATCGATCGACAATCTCAGCAGTCAAGAAGGGCTGCTTAATAACCTCAGTCAAGTACGCTAGCATATTCACTGTCTCATTGCCCAAGGCGATATAGGATGATGCTTGACGCTGCGCTGTCCTAAGGACTCCCTCTTTCTCTTGCCGATATTGTGGCGTCTGTGCAGCCCATCCGGCCTTGTCATCCATCTCTGCCTCAATACCATGAATTTCCACAAGTTTGGTTAAGCCTTCATCCAAGAGATACGTGGTATCGTTTATCAACAAATTGACAAAGCGCACGAATGTTTCTGATTTCCTATAGTCCATAATAAAACAGCAATGAGCTGAGCTTGAGTGGATCGAAAATGTTTTTTAAACATTTACCCCTATTACCTAGGTATGCATGAAAACTTTCGAAATAAAAGTTGCGATTGCTTACTGGCTTTCTGCCTTAACCATGTCACGATGGATAGGATTCTTCCACACAAACTTGAGAATCTGAGAAATATTGTATCGGATGTTGAACTTATCGTAGAATTGGGAGCTACGGCCTGTATTCTCAACCTCAACATAAAAGTTCATAATCGCGGGAATCAGACACTGGAGAGCCATAGGATGCGTATTGAGCTTCATACCGAGAGTATCATCATTTCTTTGGCCCCGATAAGGAAGAGTCATGTAAAACAAGATCTATCAAAAGAAAAAGGGGCCATAAGTATAGGTAAATAGTGCTTAATTGATTAGTTACTTTATGGAACTTAAGAATTTTACCTCAGCGAACTTGGCTTTCAGATATGGGTTTTTGATATATCCTGGAGTAATCAAGAACACCATGGTGAATGTAATCAATTCATCCAATGTGGAGGATCCAACAGTCTCATGAGAGTGGCGGAGGACAAAGAGAAAAAATTCCACAATATCTTCAATGATGTACTCTGGTAGATTCGCAAAGTCTTCAGACGGTTTCTCAGGTAATGGTAGTTGGATAGTACTTTGGGGATAGGTGTGAGTAGGGTCAACCATCCTAAGTAACCAGGCCATAACAAGGTTGTAGAACTGGAAAGAGTGTGCCAGAATGATAGGGTCCATGATCTGAGATTCTAAAGACAGTCGGAATGTAATCATCTTCTCCAGCTGAATTTCATAGCGTTTGATCAATAGTCCATTTTCTACAGAAAGTTGACCAGAAGTCTCTTGTTCTTTGAGGCGGTCATACTGATCTCTAATCTCGTAGAAATCCTTCATGAAGCGCTTATAGTCGATATACATCTTTGATAAACCGATGTGGTGAAAGCCTAATGTAAGGAAAAATATATCTGAGATGAAGTTGATAGCAGAAGTTGATGTTCCAGATGCATAACTATCCGTCATTTCCTTTGATGCACATATTCTTGTTTCTTTGGTAATGTCAATTTTGGATTTTCCCTTAAAGAATTCATGCGAAATCTTGTCGATCTTAGTATGGCCACTGTCTAGGAAGGGATCACAGAACTGCATCAAAACTTCACTGATATTATAGATGAAGCCATCGCCCGAGACCGTTGCTCGATCAACCTGCATTTGTGCTCGACGTTCATTCTTGTTTAAAATGGAATAGAAATAATCCAACATCTTCCCTTTTGATTCCGGTCCTGATCGAATGAGACTATTCACAATTTGGAATAGTGAACTTTGGATGCCACGCACAGTCCCACGGATCGAAGTAAAGGCGCCATTTGAATCTGCCTTATTCCTCTTCAAACCTGAACCAAACAGTTCCGCAACCGATGGCTGCAATATAAATTGCAGTGGATATACAATCAAAAGGATGGTTAGGCGCAGGTCATAAAATAATCAGGCAGGACAACCAATTCAAAAGAATGCAAACCATACCTCATCAGAGCAAAATCCTGAGATCTTAAAGAAAGGGCCTAGAGCAGATACTATTTCTATCTGACGTGCTGTAGCATTAGGTGGATTCCAAATGGCAATCGATGGGAGGGTCGAAGCAATAGCTGGAATCTCAATAAGAGTTAAAAGAGCTCTAAAAGGGGTTCTCCAGTCTGTCAAAATTGTAGCAGCCCTGGCACGGGCTCCAATCCCTGCTACAAGCTGTTGAACAAGATCCTCCAAGCCATCACCTTGGAACCTGGCTGCAACGTCTCTTAAAAATTCAGTTGGTATGCCACTTGCTGTATCCTGATCTGCAAAGAGCCTCTCTACCAACTGTGTAGCTCCTAAAGGCGTCGAGCTATGATGAATGTACCGGTTAATAAAATTGGATAGATGAATGGTTCGTAATGGCCTTATGTTTACATTGTTGTATTATCTTATAGACCATATCGATGTTACATTACCTCTGAACTTGAGGGAACATATCAGGCATTTGAAGTACAATCCCGGCGTAGGATACGAGCAAAGACTTGGAGGTATTCAGTGACTGAACGCGCTCCTCAATCACATTCGCAGGAAGCTAGAATCAGAGGATCTATACTTAGCTATAACTGACTAATACACGACTCATATAGTTCGCTTATAAAATGCATATCTTATACCTTAGAGCGGGACGTCTGGATTTTGACAGTCTCCAAGCGTTTCCAGCAGTCCAGAAGGTAGTCAAATAATGGATACCGAAGCTGACCACGATCAAGAAGATGAGCATTTGACTCATCATTGGGGTCAACTGACATGCGATCCACAAGAACCCTATCTAAAGAGCCTTGACTGATAACAAGTGGCTCTAAATGATTGTTTGACGTTAAGATCTTTCATAAAACCTATTGTTCAACAAGTTCTGCTTTTTTTTTTTTTTGTTTTTTATTTAAATTATTACCATTTGCTTCCGCTAATTCCCTTGCCAGGTTGGATAGATAGAGCATAGGGGCTGGTGCATTTTCATTCTATTGGTGCCATTAATCAGTCATGAGTAATTATAAGCAGATCGATGATTTATGCATTCAGCAACACTACAATGCTGAATATGAGAAGTTATAAAGATATATTAATCCATGACTCACCAAAGAAACACATAGAATACGGGATAAAGCCTCATTTTGCCATGCTTCAAATGTCAGTGCTGGTTGCTTTGGCGCTGAGGGGCTTGCAGGCTGTATCGAAGCAAAGAATAAGTTGACTTGATCCACCGATAAGTCAATAACACACAATTATAGACTGGTTTATAATGTTTACCTTCGGCGAGGGAGTAGTAGGAGGGATTGATGCTCCTTTTGGCAAGTTGGGAATTGTTATTGGTGATGATGTGCGAGCCGCTGCAGCGGTAGTATTTGATGACGATGAGCTTGCCTCAGGTTTTGAAGCCGAACCATGGATGGAACTTGATGGTGCGTTCCCCTCGGATCCAGATGATTGTTGTGAGTTGTATGACCCCTGAAGCTTCTCAAGACGCTTCATACGGATCTGAACAAATACCACAACCATGTGTTGACATTTGTAAGTAAATGAAAAATATATTGCTATTACGGTGCAATTTCATGGCATGGATATCATGATATTTTGAACTTTACCCTCTCGCGTTCTTCCTGAGAGAGAGGAACATCATTCGACGCATCCTGCATACTTTCTAATTATATTTGATGGCGCAGCAAATCGTTAACTAATGCTTGTAATTATAATCAGTCCTGGATTTGTCAGGGTAGAGATCAATGGGATGATGGGATGATGGGATGAAATGAAGAATGAAGACCCATCCAACGCTGGTCATTGCCTTTTGCTGCTTGCGCAAAGCATTGTCAGGTAGCAGTCACATTTCTCGCCTGGCTATGACCCGACGTGTAGATTCTTTGGGATGCGATAATTCCTTTGGAAGGATCTCGTTCTTAGTGGTTTCAGGAACACAATCGGTGACGCCATAAAAACCTGAAACAGCTCTTTAAACAAGGCCAAGTTTAGATAGAGACAGGTACACACTCTCCAATGAACCGACTCTGTCTTGCTTAATACTTGAGCTGTATACGGTCCACAAAACATTTCATTTGAATAGATATACATCCTTTCATTTCTTTCACTCATCTAGGATAGCAAATGGAGCGCCACATGCGCACATGGCGTTTCGCATTAAGTTCCACAAGACAAGATACACAGGGTATATGAACATGACCATGTTCAGACAGCCTAGGCTTGAGCTCATATCATGTCACAAGGAGGAGGCAGAAATGTTATTTGATAAAAGTAAACTTAAATTCGAGGCCATCAAACTTTACAATAATTGAATACGTCTCAATTGTTTGTTTTGTGTGTCTGTTTGACCAACTCGCTCATCATCCATCATTCATCGACCCTCTCAGCCTACCCCTTTCACATCCTTCTGTTTCCCCTCTCTCACTTACCAAGATAAACAGCTATATACAATCCTTATATTTCATACCCATCTCCGCTTTTCATTCCTCTTCTTTCACGTAATTATTAAAACCAACCCATTTGTATTTTTTCTTCCCCTGTGTCGTTGTTACTGTGCCCAAGCGACTCCTCCTTTATCTCAGGGGCCCACTTTAATATACCATCTTTCTACACAGCTCATTGACAATAATCACGCCCACTAGGTATAATAATGACGCTCTATATCGGCGCATTTATAATTCTAATCTTTCAGAAATAACTATTTAAACTATTACATAGTCCTGGTGAATATTTCTGATAACCAGGCTAACAAACTGTAATATAATAATGACAATAAAGAGGAGGGAGGTCGAACATGAGAAATAACGTGGTGTCAATAGCTGCCATACTAACAATAAAAAAAAGTATATGTTTAGTGGAGCTGTGGATTAATGTGTCTATTCAGGATGGGAGAGGGAGAATGTAATCGATGGAAGTTCTCGTCCTGACATTAATCTCATTACTATTTCCTTTGCTAGTGTTGTATCGCATTCATGTCTCAAGCCACTCGATTAGATCAGACAATGCCTCAGGGTGCACCAGACTTGCCCATTGAGGCTGCACTGCAGCAAGTCACGGCTGACCGTAACACTCTACGGTCCCAGAACGATCAGCTCTGGAAGATCATTGAGAAGCAGCGTATTATCATTCAAAATTTGCAAAAGGATAATGCTAAACTCACTGCCGAGCGCGATCTTTTCCGGCACGTCGCTGCTGAAAATGAAAGCTATAGAAACAGCGATCTTCCGCAATCTACTGCTCATACTCAGATGGATAGTCATCACCAATCCTCCAATAAGAGCTCTGACAGAAAGGCTCGAGAACAGGACACGTCCTCGACTATACTAAAGCACATAAGCACCGTTGACAAAGATCTTAAAATGCCCCCGCCCTCGCTATCATCAGCTCCTCAAGCACCAACAGATACCGTGCAACCTCAATCAGAGTTGCTTTCAGAACTGAAAGAGGAGGCACAAACACCCAAGGAGGCGATACAGCCTGAATCCTCTCCACTGGCTTTTTCCAATGGTGACAGCGACCTGAATGATGAAAATAACAGGGATAATCAAGAAGAAAACAGCCAGTCGTACAAGTCGTTGGAAGACGAAACAAGATCACAAAATAGGCTCGATTCAGACACCCAATTTGCTAATGCTATAGACCACTCACCCCAACAAATACAGACTACGACTGCTTCGCCACCTATGGGTGTTGACCGAGACACTCAAGTAACGCTCAATACTTATGGTCAGATAGGTAAACAGATACATACCTATGTTCATTTCAAATACTTATTTGTACAATTAATGGCCTGACATCGGCAGTATCCGTGATGACTCTCAAGGTTGTCAATGACAAGTCAAAGCTTGTTATTTTTATTTGATACTGGGCTTTGGAACATTTTCTATTTTCCATACCCAATATCCTGTTAAACCGCTTTAGCTAGACCCTAGCTCACGGAGAGATGGCAATAAATGTTTCTAACTCGCCATGACTGTCGATCTCACTTAGGGCAACTACATTCACCAGCCTCAGGAAGCCCAACTAGTTTCCGAAATGTGTCGGCCAATCTGGCCTTTGGGCCTCTTTCGCCAGGCTTACCCTATCTTCCGCCTCGATCACCAAGGAGAGAGCGTAAAGATATTGATACTTCATCTTCGCCTGCTGTGTCAGATAACGAGGACGACTCGCAACCTGTGTCCGATAAGAAGAGCCCGGTGGCCATGAGGAAAAAGATTGATCAATCCTCAATGTCACCCGAAGGATCTCTTCAGTCAGATCTAGAGGACAAAGACGTGCAGGTCATGTCTGCATCCAAGGTCTCGATTAGATCAGTGAATGCTTATGAATCTACTGGATCATCCGGCATAGAGCCATATGCTGATACAGGTCCATCAACTCGTAAAAACATATCAGCGCAAATCCCACTTATCCCACTCTCTACAACACAATTACAAGGAGTACAGGAACACGTCCCTGTTAATACTGCTGCATCCTCTGCCACTTCATCGCCTATTGCCGCCATCATCGACCAAGATGCCGAAAAGTTCAGGATGTTTATGAGCAAGCTCAGCAGCCCTAACCGCAAAAATGTTTCTGCCCCTATCCAGCTTCCCGGAGGAGAATATCAAGATCATGCCACTGCTTTAGGTCAAGCCGTAGCTATGGAGAATATTCAGAATCAACTCGAGATCCAGAGCCAATTATTGGGACAACTCCAAAGTACATCTGAATATTCTAGTATCGGCGCAATATATTGAAATAATTTACACTCCAACAAGAACTAACTCGATGTTTTTTCATATAGGCCATAGCGGAAGAATTGCATTAAATCCAGTGCATGGAGGAAACCGTCGTAATGTTTCTGCACCAATCCATGCCCACGAAATACGCCCGGTAACTAGCGCTGATAGCACGGATTTCGCCCGTACCTCCAGCGAAGGTATTGACCAAAATGCATATGTAGGCCCTATGGATCGGAGCGGAGGCCAGCTCTCATATATATCTGAAATTCAAGAGAATGATTCTGTGCAAACATTCGATGACTATCCTAAAATCAATGCACGATCAACATCTCATCAAAGAACTGATGACGATGCAGGTAGTGGACATGGTGTAGCATTCGCCCCTAATCGACAGGGTTCTAGAGACCAGCAAGGCGAGAATGGGCGTATAAATCGCGTGGCCTCACCTACACCCTCCAACAACTCGTCAATCACAAATACGCTGACGAATATACCGTCATCACCGAACCATTCTCGTCCAACAACGCTACACCAGCAAGCCTTCAGCATGTTTGCGGATAATCTTGAGTTTGTCTCAATTCTTGTAGTTGGCAGTAACATCAGCACGAATGACAGAGGTAGAGAACAGTTAACCTTTTTGATATCGATTGGTCAAGAAGTGCATGGCGAGCAAGAGGATAGTATGTTACCGCATAAAGAAGACGAAGAGCTCTGGAGAGTTGAGAAGCAATACTCTGATTTCGTCAATCTCGATTCAAAGGTAGACAATCATATTATGAGTTGATCACCCATTGTATCTTTATATAATTCGAGACATTCATCAAGCTTGTTTATTTCTTATCTATCAATAGCTCCGCATTACACAGTCCAGAAACATTGTCAATTCTTTGCCCAAACTACCTGATAAAAGTCTTTTCAGTACGCATGCACCATCCAAAGTGGACGCACGCAAAATAGCTCTCGAACAGTACTTGCAACAAGTGACATCGCTTCGCATTAAAGATACACGTGATCTTTGTGAATTCCTTAGTACAAATGTCGTGGAACGAGAAAAGAGGCAGGACACTAAAGGTTCCGGATTTAAAGCTGGCTATTTAACTAAACGTGGCAAGAATTTTGGGGGCTGGAAGACACGATACTTTGTTCTCCGTGGGCCCGCTCTTGAATACTTTGACACTGTAAGGTCTTATGCCTTGAATATAATATACTCTAAAGGTTCCCTTCGTTTCCTAACCTATTTATTTATTTATGTTTTTGTATGAGTAGAAGGATGGTCATCACCTGGGATCTATCGCACTTACAAATGCCCAAATAGGACGCCAGCAATCGCAAGATAAATTACAGGAAGGAGCAGGAGAGGGCGCAAATGACCCTAATTCCTATAGGCACGCTTTCTTAATTCTGGAGCCCAAGAAGGGACAAACTGTGGTCGATGCCAAAAAGAATCCAAACAGTGTCACTCGCCATGTTCTATGTGCCGAGACTGACGAGGAACGTGATGACTGGGTGGATGCACTGATGATATATGTAGGAAAGGATCCTGCAGAGGCATCTGAGAATATTGAGCGTGAGAAAGCTGGTAGAAAAATACATGAGATTCAAAAGTTGAGTGCAACCCCGATCAGAGATCTACAGCCAGTAAAAGGGAATGAGAAGCTCTTGCTAAATCGGGAAGCGTACGAAAGACAGCAGCGTACTATCCCCGCGTCTCATTCTACGCAACTCCACTCACAAGGCCGCAATGGATCAATATCTCAGTCTCCTACCTTACCAAATGCAAATGTTGAGGAAAGGTTTTCTTCTGAGCGATCTTCAGTAGATGCTTTCTCATCAAATCAAAAAGGCAGTAACTCTCAACAGTCTCCGCCATCAAGGAATCCATCATCACAATCGCTTCTGCAGGAAGATGTAAGTGAACATGTACACTTGTGATTAACCTGGAACAATAGGAGTATTTGACTGAATGCTTTTTTTTTTTTTTTTTTTTTTTTTTGGGATAGCATGTGCCTTCCAAGCCGTTATCAGAAAATCAGTCAATCCCAGAATCATCCGAGAAGAAGCAAAAGTCAAGAATGACATTTTGGGCTAAAAAGAGCACGAAGGAGGAGCCATTGCCACAGATGCCAGTTATAACTAATCAAAATGGCCCCCAAATGCCAGGATCAACTCTGTCATCACAGGACTCTTCAAGGCTCAGAACGTTTCTGGGAATGAGTGCTGGCAATACCCCCAGCAATGGTACCAGCAATGGGGTTGGAAATATAAGCACGGTTCCAGCCCAGGCGACAGCACCCGGTCCTGGGTCACAGGCACCGCCATTTACTTCTGAACGCCAAGTTTTTGGTGTAAGTTTGGAGCAAGCCATCGAGCAGGCTCAAATTCAACCTGGATATGAGCTCCCAGCAGTTGTGTATCGATGTATCGAGTATTTGAATGCACATAAAGCTCAATTTGAGGAGGGCATTTACCGGTTGAACGGCTCAGCAGCTGTGATCAAGAGCCTAAAAGAGCGATTTAATCAGGAAGGTGATGTGCCTCTTTTACAAGAAGAGGAATATTACGATATTCATGCAGTAGCTGGCCTTTTGAAATTGTTTCTACGAGAATTACCATCTTCAGTATTGACTCGGGAATTGCACAGAGACTTTCTTCAGGTCGTTGGTAAGTATTAAAGCGTTGCGCGCCAATGTTTTCGCCTTAAAAGTAGCATTTAAAGGATATTAAATTCAACCGTATTCATCCAACTTCATTGTGTTTATTAGAACTTGCAAACAAAGCGGATCGAGTTGAGGAGCTGACACGATTAGTTGCATCCCTTCCTGAAGCCAACTATACACTTCTCCGCGCTTTGACGGCACATCTGATCGAGATCGTGGATAATGCTGATATAAACAAAATGACGGCTCGCAATGTGGGTATTGTCTTTTCACCAACGCTTGGGATCCCTGCCGGGGTGTTTGCATTGCTAATGTCAAACTTTGATCAAATCTTTCATACAAACGATGGTCGAATCATGCCGCTCGAAAACAGCATCAATAATATGCATCAGGAATCACAAGAAATTACAAGTTCATCTTTAATATCTGATAGTGGTGATATGAATCAGGAACCAACTTCTATAGCAACTTGAAAAAAATACACCACAGCATGTGTTAAAGTGTGACTCGGTATTAAATTGTAAAGCTTTTATGTGTATAAATTCTTAAAGATCTAGCATTTAGTATTATATACTACAACACTGTTGCTTGCGTTGACTCGAGAACCGAAGCTATATTTTCCTCAGTACAGGTGTAAGGGTATAGAATGCAATATTTGCCTAGAAATTGCTGTTAGTCCTGTTAGTGGTGCTTGGGAAAATAATTTTAGCTTAGACTTAATTGGCTGTGGAATAAGCAGGTGGAGGTGAGGTCATGGTGCCAGCGGATGAAGGAATAAGTGGATAATTTGCTGGCTGAAACGATTGTTGCTGTGTTGACGGATAGACATTTTGAGTCTGCTGGAAGGGTATTTGAGGAGGGAGCTGTTGCTCAAAAGCAGAAGGAGGATACGGCTGCTGTTGATACGGTGTAGATGGTTGCGATGAAAAAGGTGGATAAGGTTGCTGCTGAGGAACAGAAGGTGGTGGCTGATGTGGGAATGGTTGTTGATAAGGCTGGTATTGGTAAGACTGATTTGGATCAGAAACTGGATAGTCAGGTCCAGCAACGGGCGGTTGTTGAGGGTAGTAAAGGTTGGGATTAGCAGGAAAGGACTGCAGAGGCACAGGCGGGTCTACGGTCATGACAACAGCCTGTTGAGTCTTGATAGATTCTGCATAACGAGCACTGCGTCTATGCCGGATGACACAGACAATGATGATCAGAATGATTATGATCACAGACCAGACCAAATGGAAGAAAACAGCCATCAGAACTGATTTTAAAAGAGATGGAAAAAGATGTTATTTAGCGGTTGAAGAAAGTATGATGATGGAAAGAGAAAGAGAAAGGGAAAATTACCTGTTATTAAATATTTTCATTCACGCCGCAACATCTGTCCACTTTAACGCCAATAAGATTAGTGCAGTGCACAGCCCTGAAATTTCAAAATGTCTACGCCCTTGTGTCTCTATTGCACTCTACTTGCACAGTAAGATATGATTATAGTACTAGCATTCAGGATCTATTGTAGCAGCTCTTCGCTTCTAAAGAGTCATAAGTTTGGTTGTGTATTGGGTCGTCATGTAAAAAAGGGCAGAGTTATAGTCCAGCTACCAATCTTTACATTGATCGGCTTCCTGCTCGAACTTGATATAAACTCGAATGGGTTCCAGGCCTGACTAACATCATTTGCAACCAAAAAGAGGACTAGCGATGTCGAATGGCAACCTCAAAGATAATTGATGAAATAGTTGCTAACATGTACTGCTGTGGTAGTAATCCAATCAACATTGGAATGCAGCGATCCTCTGATGCAAGGATTCGATCCCAAGGCAATTCTCGCAGCGCCCAAGTGGTGCTAGTTTGCGCTCATGCGGCACTAACATCAGAATAAGCCTACATCCTAAATCATTTGTATGTAGGAAATCAATCGCTGCATCCTCATCCTATTCTAAGCGTCTACCTTGAAAGCCTTACTGCAGCCGTGGGCAAACCAAGGTGCGAACGATTTGGCTTTGATCCTTGGGTCCGTACTATACTCACGCTTTCAAATGACCTAAAATTGATTTTTCCTTTGGGACTTGCTTATGATCAGTCAAATCATAGAAGTAGCTATTGTGGGTATTAGAGCATTACCTCGACCATCCTTACAAATTCATCTTGGGCAAATGTGCCTCCGAGATGACTTCCCATCATCACTCTCTGGTGATCTGAGCCCACAGTGCATCATTCTCCTTTGCTGACTTGTAGCTGACTCAGAAGGCTGCCTGAAAGGCATGGTATAAGATCGACGACGACGACGATACAACCATGTTTTTAACTCAGTTAATATAAGTGTCACTTTGGGCCGAGACGATTAAGTTGATGACTCTTCTCCCAACGCAATGCCTTTTTACAAAGAGTAGCTGGCATAGTATCACAATGTATATGAATATAAAGAAGCTGCAAGTCAGCTCAATCTGGGGCCATTATACACATATGTCTGGGAGATCTCAATGGACGGGTAGATGCAGATGTTGATGGTTATCTAGTACTGTGGACAACAAGTGGCTTTCACATCGATGATGGGGTGACTCATCTTGTGTGGGATCGTCAGTCCTACGCTTATTACTATTAGAGTGTTTTAGTTGCGGATGATACCCGAACTTAAGGATGGTATATGGAGCGGCGTATGAAGAAGAACGAGCTTTGAAACACTGGCATTGAAAAAACGGCAATAGAAAAGATGGTTACTTTTGCAATTTCCACTGGTCTCGACACATTAAAGTCAGCCATTGCGATGGATAGAAGACCCTAGCGAAGGAGTAAACTGTGTGGGGACAAGTTGCGTCGGGGGCAAGCGCCAAGGCAGGAACATGTCAGCAAGGGACCAATGTTAACGCACAGGCGGGCAAATTGTATCACGACCATGGAGAGGAGTAGATGACGATGGGAAAAGAGCTATCTGGACAGTCCAAGGCCTTTAGCATGGATTGGTGCCACAAGACATAGTCAATGATTGGAAAGATACTTTCAAGACAATTGCATTCGTTGCAAGATATGCAGTGTATAGATTTATCAATGCTATTAAAACGCTACATAGTCACAGTCTACTGGGAAAGAATAAAGCATCACCACCTGAGAGCATCAGGACTATGCAGCTGGGCAGCACAAACGAAACAGAGGTGATTTCTTTGGATCTGCCCAAAGACGACGACGAGCAGCTGACGTGAAAGCGATCATGGTAGAAGCAGATCACGGAATAGGAGAGTGATCGAGATTGACAGTGACAGGACGACTGGAAGAATATCGCTTTTATACAGTCCAACTTTAATTATGAGATGGATGTAACAGGTGATACGTTTCACAATTCATCCATGCCTCTGTCTTAATGATGGCATCTATTCCAGCATCGGAGTCATTACCGTCATCATCGTCGAACAGCCCTTCTAATGAGGTGCTGCAATTACCGGAGCTGCTGGAAAAAATAGCCACATATGTCTCGCACACCGACACCCTCCATTCAGCACTTGTTTGTAAGACTTGGGGCTCTGTTTTCACAGCTAACCTCTGGCGCAAATTGAATATGCCTCCAATTCACAAGAGCAGCTTCATCAACGGCTTGTTACATCGGGGCCACCATGTTCGTTCACTTACACTTGTCGGTCAATTTGATCACATGTTGTTTTACAAGTCTTGTCCACAGTTAACTCTGCTTGACCTGACTCTAGCACAATCACTTAATGTGTTTGGACTCCACAATATGGCTCGCTGTCTGCCTAATCTCAAGATCTTAAGGCTCAATTGCTGCTATGGTCAAAGCTTGTCTTGGCTTGGCCCTTTGACACAACTCGAATGTCTCGAGGAGTTTGCCATGATTAATGACATGCCAGAGTATTCACAGAGTGATGTGCCATCGATTTCTGAGCATGAACAATCTTTATATGTCCAGAGTTTAGATGAGGCCTCAAATTCAGTCAATACAGATGTTGATCCAGATGAGATGCTTGAAGCTGATCAAGGATTTAGTTATGTAGCGATAGAGGAAGTGGAGCCAACAGATACGACAGAAGAATTGGATCTACAACCAGATTATTTGGGAGAATTCTTGATTGCTCGTGCCGCAACATTGACTAACTTGAGCCTCGAAGGATTGGACCTGCTTGGATTTAAGCTCTTCAAAACTTATAGTCAGACAAATAGTGTAGTAAAGGATGCTACAACACCTACCAGCTCGCCTTGCGCCACAGAGTCTTCTATAATACCAACCATATCCATCAAGCGCCTGAATCTTTCGAAAATAGGTGTTTATCATACGAGTTCTGTCATAGAGCCACTTTTAATGCAGTGCCATGGCCTTGAGACATTAGACATATCAGGGAACTTCGAGAAACCATGGGACATGTTCCAATGGTCGTTACTTCCTCGATATTGTTTGAAGCTTACCTCTTTAAATTTGGGTCAGTTATCATCTATCGACAATGATCAACTGGTACAAGTCGTGCGATGTTGTCCGGGGTTCCGCTCGTTGCTGGCACCACAATCCAACCTTCATAGCAAAGTTCTGGACGCCATTGTAGATAGATGGTTAGAGACATTACATGATTTAGGTGGAGCTCGAGAGTTCACTGTTCAGAAGACTGGATTCCTAGAACTCGACATTTCCTGGTGTTCAGAGATTAAGCAAGAGTCAGTTCAGCGGCTATTGAAGCATGTATCGACGCTGAAGAGCTTTAGATGTTCATGGTGTCAACAAATTGATCTAAGCTTATTTCAATTAGAATGGAGTTGTCTGGGTCTTATTGAGTTGGAAGCACAGGGACTTGACAAGCCAACTACAACTGATGACGAATTCAGCTGCTCACCTGAAGTTCACATGTTTAAACGGATATCCCAATTCAGCTTTCTGAGGCACCTCGCAATTGGGTCCGATGAGGTGATGGCATCTATCACAAATGGGTTTGAGTTGTTGGGACTGCGAAAGGCTGGCAACAACGATGAGCAGACGGCGAAGCCCTGCTTGAATCAACTTCAATATCTGTCTATTATTGGGCATGAAGAGAGCCCATTAGGAATAAGTGAAATGTCAGTCGTGGCCAGTTCGTTTCCTCAGCTGCGTCATTTTCACTTTGGGCTTGGGCTAGTATCACCAGAGATGCAAACTTGGTTGGCTGGACAACGACCTGATGTTCATCAGGAGGAGCAGCGCATCTACTATTGAAATATTAAAAATTAAAACATTCTTGCATTTCAATAAAAACCTGCTTCTGCATTTTCTTGTCAGTTTTGACAAACGCTACGACAATCATCACCTTCATCAACCACCACAGTAACAGTTATTATGTCTCCTTTGCCTGGTACGACCGATGGCCGCAAACTATCTTCAGCATCCGTGTCTGCTACATCTCTATCCTCGTCGAGTCAACTAGAGAGCGGGATGGCAGACCCAGGCTTGACATCCAGCATTAGTACCAGAAGACCCTCAGTCGGATCCACCTTCTTTGCTTCAGGAAGTAGTAATCACGGAAACGGGCAATCATCTTCACCTTCGCTTTTCCCTGTTCATCATGCTTTAGAAGAACAGCAACAATACTCACAGCAGCATCGACCACGCCCTAGGAACAACAGCCATAATGGAAGGAGCCATGTCTTCCATCCATTGGATGCGATCGCACAAAACTCTTTGGTGAACCCCTATGCCAATGCTGAGAGTGGAGGAAATAGCACTTCAGCCAGTAGTAAGCGAAAAAACATTAATAAGGAGGCAGGGGACTCTGGTGGCATTCGCTCATTTTTTCGTTCATCATCGAGGCCTCCTTCGCCTGTAACTGCAGACTCATCCGACAACTTACCCATCAGTCATACTCGCAAGACATCATTTGGCAGTTACAAGAATTCGATTCCAATGAACGGCACTGCCTCGAGCACAACGACATTGAACACATTTTATTCGAGTTCAACAACGCTCCACATTGGCCCCAGCAGCTCAAGTTATGTTAGCAATAGCGGTATCCTTAGCAGCAGTCTTGGAAACTCTTCCCAACCATATCAGTACCGCCCAGCTCCACACCCATTCAGCTCAGACTCAGGCCGAAGACGCTCGACTGAGTCATACTCGCGGTCACCTTCTCCCGACTCTTTCCTACAGCGACAGTATCAAGGAGGTATCAGTCCTGGCAAACATCCTGTCCCTGCCACTCCATCTCAACACCGCACATATCAGCAGACAGAATCCATTAAAGAGTCCCGTCACAGACGTACCAGATCTTCCGATTTCAATGAGATCCGTCCCGGGTTACCTCAAGAGCTCGCCGAACTCCAGAATAATATCGCCAGCCCTGCCAAAGAGCCTAAGAAGGGTTTGTTTGGCCTGTTCAAGAAAAAGACTCATCATCCTGCTTCCTCCTCTCCGACTCCGTCATCATCAGCATACCCTACTCTAGATCGTAAGTTTTATTTTATTATGCTCTTAGACGTACTGGTTTATCGATTGATTTTCTAAATATCAGATGTCATTATTCTTGTCACCAGAGTTATCCCGCAAATATTCAGCCGAAGATCCGCTTTCCATACTCCCACCGCCTACTTTGACCTCAGCACAGGGCTTTGCATTGTTATCTGAACAAGATATATCGATAGGATCTGGTTGCTCCTTTGATCGAAGATATGGTAGTGATGGAGGAGATTATCCAAGACATCCGCCTCCTTTCTCAATTGGCAAAAAAACGTCAAAAAAAGATATTCATGCGGTAATCCTCGTTGAACGGCCGATCTAGATATTTTTTGATCCTCCTTACTTTCTTAAAACTAACTTTTCATGGCACTTTATATTAATTACGATATCTTTAGCAAGATTCAATTTTCCCAGGATATGTTGGTGAGTGAAGGTTAATATTACTGCAACTTAGGCATCGATGCAAAGGTGGATTATTGATGAAAGTGTAATGTTCTTCTACCTTGTAGTAGACCAAACCGACTTCCCAGGGCCAATAAGTGTCAAAGATGATCCCAAGAATGCGCTACGTCAACTTCAGCCTACATCAGCTAGTGGTGCTGACTGGCATGCCCCTGAGAGCTGGGGTGTTCAGTCTATTTCCGGATCAACTATAGGTCCCCTTCAAAAGTCACTTGCCTTGAAAACCGAGGACCCTACATCTGATGACATGGAGCAGAGCGATGATGAAAGCTGGGATTATGATAAAAGGAAGTTGTCAACGATTAGAATCTTCCGGCCAGACACAACTTACACAACTGTTAACTGCCGGTATAATATTACAGCAAGTGAATTGAGCGCAATGCTTGGCCGAAAGATTTTTAAGCCCGACACATCCAAGTATCATATATATATCCTTCGAAATAACGTTGGTATGTTATTTATACTTGGTTACATTAGTACAGGTGTTCTCTGTCTTTGTTTCAACTAACAGATCCGTCATTATTTGAATTAGTTCGTCCACTCGGCCCTAACGAAAGGCCTCTCAGCATTTTGCGCCGATGCCTCGTGCAGTTTGGATATACGGATCAAGACAAATTAGACGAACTCTCTGGAAAGGATAATAGATTCCTATGCCGTTTCACATTTGCAGAGAGTGGGCTTCCATTGGTCAAGGTAATAGACATAGACAAATTATGGGCGATAAAAGTATTACAATATCGTTCGTAAATTACTAATATTTTTAGAATAATATGTCAAATTTAGGAGACTGATTTCCCGGCACATAGTATATATGCCGATGTAAATTTGCAACGCCAATGCTTACCCACAATACCAATCTTCCTGTATTCAAGAGCCAAAGATATTGTGCGTTTAAATATTTCGCATAACCAGCGGATGGATTTACCGCTTGATTTTGTGCAGAACTGTAGCGCATTGAGGGACCTTCGAATGGCTTATAATGACTTGGATAAGGTTCCAAGCAATGTCCGATACATTTTGAATCTTCAGATCCTAGACGTTCGCGGCAATCGCATTAGGGATCTTCAAAAGGCTCATTTGGAAGAGGCTCGCAAATTGGATACTTTGATTCTTCAATGCAATCGCTTAAACTCCATTCCGGATGCTTTTCAGGAATTTCAGCATCTGCGCATCCTTAATCTCTCGAGCAACAACTTTGAGAAGGTGCCAGCTGTACTCTGTACAATTCAATCATTGGAAGAGCTGGATCTCAGTTTCAACAGCATTTCAGAAATCCCTCATGAAATCAGTCATCTCGTACGACTGAAGAAGCTACTTTTATACGGCAACGAGATCGGGCCGTTTTTGCCTAAGAGCATGGAGACAATGACGGCTCTACAAAAACTGGATATTCGCCAGAACGGCATATTGAATATAGATGCATTGAACGAACTTCCAGCTCTTGAAGAGTTGTTGGTGGACTACAACACAAAGGTTGTCCTCAACAATGCATTTGGCGCGCTGGTGCGACTTTCGATTGTGAAATGCAACATGACTGACATCAATCTACGAGGTACCGGCAACACACTTACCTTCCTCGACCTCTCTTCGAATAAGCTCTCCAACTTGGCTCCAACCTTGTTTGAACACCTAAGATGCTTGGAAATTCTGAAACTTGATCACAATAGTATAAGCTCTATTCCGTCGACCGTTGGTGCGCTCAAGAAACTTAGAACGCTTTCAGTTGCGTATAATAATCTCTCTAGTATACCCGATGACATCGCACAGCTTCACTCCCTTATTGATCTGGACGTTCGTAGTAATAGTCTTGGAGAGCTCCCCGGAGCTATCTGGAAATGTTCACTCAAGTATCTCAACGCGTCTTCCAACATTCTTGAGTCTTTTCCAGATCCACCAGGAAACTATAGTCTTAAAGCGGGCGATGAGTCACTCATTACAGCATCATCATCATCAATAACATCATACGATATGGAGCCTGTCGCGCCTGTCCATTTTCAAGGTCCATCCCCCATCAGTCGCTCCGACCATATCCCCCCACTGGTAACCACACTGGAAACACTGTGTTTGGCTGATAATCGGCTGCCAGACGATGTTTTCTATCCCCTATCGCGTCTTTGTGCCTTGAAGATTTTAAATTTAAGTCATAATTTTATTGCTGAGATCCCTCGAGGCCAAATACCAAACACAGGTAACATCCAGGAGCTATATTTGAGTGGAAATCAACTCACTAACCTACCTGCGGATGACATCGAGTCGATGCGCAATCTTCAGGTATTGCATGTCAGCGGAAACAAGCTCACGACGCTCCCTGCAGAGTTGGGAAAGATCAATCGTCTTAAGGTGCTCGATGTTGGCTGTAATATGTTGAAGTACAACATCTTAAATTGGCCGTATGACTGGAACTGGTAAGAAAACACATTCGTGATTAAAATGGTTGGTAACACAGTATTCACTTAGAAGAGCTTACAAAGTGTATATTATTATCTAATACTATTATCAGGAATTGGAATCTTGAACTCAAGTACCTGAATATGTCTGGAAATAAGCGCCTTCAAATTAAACGGCAGGCAGCTGAAACGATACCGACAGCATCTCGCCCAGGAAATTTGTCTGAATTCAGTAACCTTACTTGTCTTCGAATTCTTGGATTAATGGATGTTACTATCACAGATAATGTCCCAGATGATACCGTAGATAAACGAGTCAGAACATCGACATCCACTCTGCATAATATGTCATATGGTATGGCTGATACTTTAGGCGATGGCGAAAATCTTTGCATTTGGGATCTTGTTCATCCTAAATTTCAGACTAAGGATGATGAAGTATTATTCGGCCTGTTTGATGGCCGATCTGGAAAGTCTCGATCAAGCTGTCGAATGACTAGCCATCTTAAGGATCGGTTCGGCGCGTACTTCAAAATCGAGCTGGAAAAACTAGAAGGTTCTGACACTGTTGTTAGTGCACTTCGGCGCACATTCTTGGGCCTCGATCGTGAGCTCTGGCCACTTGCTAAAGGGGAAGGTGGCAGGGGAGGAGCTTCTGCACTCGTAGCTTATATCAAAGGAATGACTTTATACACGGCCAACGTTGGGGACACAATTGCTGTATTAGTCAAGAAATCGGATTCATTTAATGTGATTTCACAAAAGCATATTCCTTGGAACCCAACAGAAGCGGCACGGATTAAGCGTTCTGGTGGATTTGTTAGCGAAAACGGGCTTTTGAATGACGAGCTAGATATTTCAAGATCGTTTGGACAGTATCATCTTATTCCGATTGTCAACTCAAACCCATTCATTGAGACCACCACTCTGACGGAGGATGACGATTTTCTGATCATGGCCTCTAAGTCGTTCTGGGATGTCATGTCTTATAATACTGCAGTGGACATCGCTAAGGCTGGTATGAGGATTTATGGTGACTTGATGCACGCATCTCAAAAGCTGAGGGATATTGCTATTTCGTATGGTGCTCGTGAGCATATGGTTGTGATGTTAGTAGGAGTTGGAGATCTATTCAAGAAAAAGGAGCCTTCGGATACTTTGGAATATCACCAGCATAAAAAGAGGCCAAAGCCGACTGAAGGTCCGATTGATGCCGTAAGTGAAGTCGTCACTTTCATTTGTTAAACCTCCTTTCTTTTTTTCTCAGTGAGCGAGAGTACTCATGGCTTTTACTTGAATTATCAAGTTGAAATACTTAAAACCCGAGATAGAGCCTCCACAAGGCGATGTTGCCATGGTTTTCACAGACATCAAGAACTCCTCCAGATTGTGGGAAGATATGCCTATTGCCATGGCTATTGCGATTAAGGAGCAGTTTAACATCATGCGACGCCAGCTCCGCTCTATTGGTGGGTACGAGGTCAAAAACGAAGGTGACGCTATGATGGCGTCATTTTCGAGTGTGCCAGCTGCCATATTGTGGTGCTTTAAGGTGCAGGAACTACTCATATCCGCAGACTGGCCGCAGGATATTCTAGATACTGAGGATGGTCAGACAATTTTTAGCGCCTCGGATCCTAATCAACCCATCTATAAAGGGCTTTCTGTTCGTATGGGGATCCATTGGGGACAACCCGTAAGCCATCGGGATGAAGTGACACGGCGAATGGACTACTATGGGACGATGGTCAACCGTGCGGCTCGAATTTGCGCCTCGGCTGATGGTGGAGAAATATGTGTCAGCAGTGAAGTAGTTAAGGTGATGCAGAACATACTTTCGGACTCTTCTTTGGAATATTCTGACTTTCCGGATGCTGAGCATGTTCGAGAGATGATGAAGCTCGGCTACGTAGTGATCGATATTGGTGAAAAGAAGCTAAAAGGGCTAGAAACCCCAGAAAGCCTGCATCTACTCTACACCCGGTTACTCGCTGAGCGTTACACAACAGAGGCTAAGAGTGTTGCAGCTACTCCCGTCTTAGGAACTGTAAAATGATATCTATAGTTTGAGACGAACTGCATGTCAAGGTACAATTGGTAGTCTGGTTCATGCATAGTAATATGCTTTTTTTTTTCTTTTTTTCTTTTTATCATCATAGCAGGAGGTATTGACACAACCGACATGCTTGGATCCGACTTCGGTGCGGGTGATACAGAGCATATGCTTACGTCTTGAGCGACTTGTTTCAGGGGCTGTGTCCAAATATGGACGCGCGACGGAGCAAGACCTGGCTTTGCTCTCGCTAACCATCAGAGATAATGCGGATCAAGATGACCTTAGACGCATTGCTGAGAATTGCATATGGAGGATTGAGGTAAGTTTTTTTTTTTTTATAAAATCTTCTGCTTTGGCATTTTTTTTGGTCGAAAACTAATCCATACCTTCTTTTTGCTCTTTATTTAGAATTGTTTCTCGCAGTTATACATGGCCAAATCTGGACAATATGTTGCTGTGTATGATAGACTGACTAAGGTCTTAAAAAATGATCCGAACTACATCTTGCAGGCGCTACAGCAATATGTAAGTATGGTGGGCAGTATGGGATCTACTGCGCTTTTGTGAAGTCGTCAATGAGAGAAAGAAAAAAGCAGACTCTTGTATGAGTATGGAGCTGGATATACCCTAGCCAAGCCTGTCAAATAGAACATTTTTTTCGAAATATAAGATAACATTATGATAAACTGGAATGAGGTTCGCCTATTCAAAGGTTATGAAATGTCAGTGATCAGAGCCTTTTATTGTGACGGTCTCACTCCGTCAAACAGCTGTACTAATGTGATTCTTGTCTTCATTTTCCACAAACTTTTTGCATCACTTCATTGCACTTCGCATCGTTCTTCTCCTCCATTTACATCTCGGCATATTATCCCTCAAATAAAAAAAAGAAAAAGAGAGTATTCTGCATAGTGCAGTGAGAGCAAATGTCACGAAGGACAGTAGTCCATTATGGACCCGATTCGACCTCCAGTTCCACATTTTCGACTAGATCCAATGCTCTGCCTACTACCAGAAGCATAAGTCTTTCTAAACGTGTAGCCAATCATTCCAACGACATTGTCGCTTACTTCCATGATGAGGAAGTTGGAAACTATCACTATGGGGTATGATCATTTGAAATTAGAAAAGCAAATTGGGAATCTTTATGTCTAGGTTATTAGCCTTGGTTTTGTGAATTTATCATTGAAACCATGGTACGCTTCTGATGGATGATAGGAGCGGCATCCAATGAAGCCACATCGACTTACTTTGACTAACCATCTGGTGATAGCGTACGATCTACACAAGAAAATGGAAGTTTTTCAGCCTCGTAGGGCAACGGATGAGGAGATCATGGACTTTCATGCCCCAGATTACATCGATTTTTTAAAAAGGTTGGTTTGGTTTTGAAACTGCTTTTTTTTTTTTGCTTTATGAAGCATAGCCACTGACAGACAATGTTTTTATTTAATGAAATTCAGGGTCACACCAGAAAACATGAATAATTTCAGTAAAGTTTTTAGTCGTTATAATGTCGGGGATGACTGTCCTGTTTTTGACGGCATGTTTGACTTTTGCAAGATCTACTCTGGCGCGACTATGGATGCGGCCCGCAAGTTGACTAATGGCTCTGCTGATATCAGTATCAACTGGTCTGGAGGTTTGCATCATGCTAAGCGGGTTGAGGCATCAGGCTTTTGTTATGTTAATGATATTGTTCTGGGGATCTTCGAATTACTTAGGTGAGTATCATTCTTGGGAGTAGATGTGTTGTCCGCATCTGAGGGCCATCAATAGTGAACCCAGCTATTTTAATTATTAAACTAATAACTAGACATTACCCTCGAGTTCTCTATGTTGACATCGACATTCACCATGGGGACGGAGTGCAGGAGGCGTTTTACGCGACGGATCGAGTCATGACGGTTTCTTTTCATAAATACAATGGTGACTTCTTTCCGGGAACTGGAGACATCGACGAGATTGGAAGCGGGATCGGGAAGCATTATTCACTGAATGTGCCACTCAAAGATGGTATTGACGATGACTCCTACATTTATTTATTCAAGTCGGTGATGGAAGCAGTTATCAATTCATTCAGGCCTTCCGCGATCGTCCTACAGTGTGGCGCAGATTCGCTAGGATGCGATCGACTAGGATGCTTCAACTTATCTATAAAGGCGCACGGAGAATGTGTTCGATTCATAAAGGACTTTAAGTTACCGCTATTAGTGCTTGGTGGAGGAGGATACACGATTCGAAATGTGGCAAGGTGCTGGGCTTATGAGACATCCATTTTAGTGGACCATGAAGTCTCAAATGACTTGCCATACCATGAGTACATCGATTATTTTCAACCAGATTACAAGCTTCATCCACATCTTTCTGGAAAAGTAGAAAACATGAATACCAAGCAATATATTCGGAACCTTAGGATCAAAGTTCTGGAGCACCTCAGGTTTTTAAATGGTGCACCCAGTGTTCAGATGCAAGAAATACCTCCAGATATTCAAGGATTCCTGGAAATGAATGACGAAGAAGAGGCAGAGCTGCTGGCTGACTCTGCTAAGGGAAAAGAAGAAAAGGAACAACAGCGTACACGCGATCACCAAAATGAGTTCTTCGATAGCGAGCGTGACATCGACATGGAGGACGAGAGCTAGCGCTTCAAAAAAAATAAAATAAAAATAAAAAAATAAAAATCATTTCTTTATTAATACTGTTATTAAATGAAGACAATGAATTTGCGTATTTACTTCAGAGAGCGTGAGGATCGGATTCTTTGCAATGGTTAGGTAGTCTCACCCAAAAAGATATCCATCACTCTTGTCTTCAACTAAAACCTATCTTTACAGCACTCTATTCACATTATGACCGCCATTTTCAAGGTGCTACTGTAATGGCTCACAGCATACTAAAGAGAGATATCTTAATAAACGGACTAATAATATATTCATCATCTTATTCACTGTATACTTCTCGTCTATCCAAAACTTCCTTGGATACTGCCTTTTTTATGGGCAATTTTTACTGTCATATTCGTATATATAATGCTAATACTACTAGTAAGGGTCATTAGCACCTATAGCGTATGCTTGACCGGCCAATCTCAACAATGCAAACAAGGATAATATCAGAGTGGCTGACGAGGGATTTCTTCAGACGCCAAGCTCCTGCTGCATTGGGATAACACTCAGTCTCCTGATATTGAAGTAGACATATCCAATCAAAACATTCTATCAGTGGACTGCATGTCTACTCCGGTCAACATGTGGCTTATGGATCCGTAATAACAAACTCATCTATTCCTCAATCCCTTTGTCACCTTTCAGCAATACTTTGTCATGCTTCGCACTATCCATCGATTAGGATTAGTTTCCAATGGGAGGTTTTGGGCTCAGCAATCGCCCATGACTGGAACTCATGTAGGCAGGATGTCGGTCGCATTCTTTCATACTGGCAGTCGCCCTAACTCACTGACAGGCTCTCCCAATGTTGCCACAACACCATCAAAACCACTACCTCCTCCCATGGTTGCCACTTCAATGCAAAGCAAGATTGGACCCTCTTTACAAACACAACAATCATCAGTAATACCACCAGCTGAGATAAACATAGACAATGAGCTGGAGACAGAAGGTGTTGAAGATAGGCACATGTCGTCTGCGTTCGCTGAGTTTGTCCCTGTGTTACCAGAATTAGCCCGCTCGATGGACGATAATCCAATTCTCAAACAACTTGTCAATACGATTATGAAAGACGGAAAGAAAGCTCGTGCACAACGCTTTGTGGCAGATACACTACTAGAAATTCGATCTAGAACTCAATCGGATCCTTATCAAGTGATCTTGGATGCGCTTGAGTTGGCTAGTCCTATTCTGAAATTGACGCCAATTAAGAAAGGTTCTAAGGTATTGCAGGTCCCTAATCCGATGACAGAGAGGCAAAGACGTAGGAAGGCAATCGTATGGATTTTAGAGGCCAGTGACAAACGAAAAGGCGAGAAGAAGTTCAAGGATAGGCTGGCCAGTGAATTTTTGGCTGTGGTAAACGGTAACAGCGGAGCATTGATCAAGAAAAATCAACAACATAAAATGGCGTTGGCCAACAGGGCTAATGCATCATTGAAATATTAAAAATCTGCAATTTTAGAAAACAGCTCACATGTATTTTTCATGAACTGTCTACTAATGAAACTGAAAGTGGATGATGTTTCACACAGTCATTCATCACACCATTCTCTCTTCTTCCTCCTCTCGCTCCGCTTGTACTTCGTGTGTTTATTATTACTATAACGATGTCTGATCCATCTCCACCTCCATCAACAGCGCCGCCTGTTCAGCGCACACGCGCCAGCTCTTATCACTCTGTACCCTTGTCCTACCAATCAACTAACCCATCTTCATCTTTCATCAACTCCATCTCATTGCTTGACCCTTCCACAAATGGCTCTCGAAGCATCTCCGCCTCTCCGCAGAGGTGCTCCATGCCACTCCTACCTGCGCTCTCAACATCTATCCGTGCATCCTCATCCGCTTTAAACATGAAGCCAGCATCACTTTCAGGAGCATCATTGTCAGCAGGAAGGAACTCTGTAGATATCAACTCACATGGTAGTCGCACAACTACCTCCGTAAAGTTCAATAGCTCAGAAATTGAGCGAAGTTTTCAGGCTTTGCTAAAGAAGCAACCTATTGCGGCTCCAGGGCCCTCATTACTGCACGGTAAAGGCCATCGACAGTCGTCTCAACACTCTGAATCTCGTCTTGGCTCGAAACACCATGATAGGTTGTCTAGTAATAACGGCAGTAGCAACTTCGGCAGCAGTTTGTCACATTCTCCTGTGTTTGGATCACCAGCGTCTGAGCACGCCAAGAACTGGATCAAGACTGTGGGTCTGGATCAGCCTAGTGAATCGGATAGCGACCAGCGCGAGAGTGACGCTGACAACTGCGAAGATAGTGAGCAACTTCGGTGGCAAACTGACCATGATGATGATACGGCAAATCAGGTCGAGCTTGAAACAGAAACAGAGGTTGCAAGGTTACCAATAAGTACACGGCTATCCTTCAGCTCCAAAAAAGGATATCCTATGTTCAGTGAAACTGGTAGGACATTGTGAACTGTGCAATCGTGTCTACTATCTGCTTTATTATTAGACTATCCAACTAATGAGCTTATTCTGTTCATCAGCTACATATCAGTCACCTGTTCGTGCCAAAGACCAGTCCGCTATACACCCACTTTCACCTATACCGCCTTCACCCCGTTCAGAAACATCTACACCAAAGCCGTCTCAATTAATGTCACCAAAAATGCGGCCTAGTGTGTTTGATTCTGGATCGATACCTCCAATAACCTCTAAGACCGTCAACCAGCCTCTTCCGCCTCCTCCTGAACCCACCACAGCATTGCCTGACAGACCTCGTGCACGAACAAAGGTCACTCCTCATGTTCAGCCCCCAAAAAAGTCTTTCAAAAATAGTCCTTTGCCTCCGAAACCCGTATCTGTTACGGAAAGACAGCCTGTGTCCTTAAGCAATCCACCGCGCAAATGTATACATCATGGCAAGATTTTGCAGGTTATCAACACATCAACAGTCAAGGATCGATACCTCTTCTTGTTTAGCGATATTCTATTGATTACCAAGCATATGTCAGAGGGTCACCCTACAATTGATAGTCGTTTTCAAGTTAAAGAAGTCATTGAATTGAAGAAGATTAGCCTCAGTCTCACTCGTGACAAATACGACTCCAAGAATGGGGAAGCTGGCCCTCATGGCAATCGCAAGATCCCTCCTATCCTTGCAGAGTTCATCCATACTTTTGATCAGGACCCAAATCGTGCCATTAAGAGCTTTATTCAAAAACGTGCTCTACATTCTGACCATATTTCTGTGGCACATCTCCTGTTTAAGACACCAGAGCTATCAAAGAGTCAGCTGGCTCTTTTCCTTTCTGATCCAGCGAATAAGCATGTCTACCGAGCGTTTCTGGATCAATGTCAATTTGCAGGAGTCTTGCTGGACGAGGCTCTTAGGACACTGCTAAGCCGGCTTAGCCTCCCAGACAGGGTGAGTGTGCCTCGTAGTGGAGGCTCTACGGATCGCTCTAATAGATGTGTGGGTTATTTGCTGGAGGAATTTACTAAACGCTGGTATGAAGCGAACATCAACGTGGTTGTGTTTGATGCTTCGATTGCCCATAAGCTCGTCATTGCCATGATCGTACTCAATGCTCAGCTCCACAACAACGAAGGCGCTAGTCTCGTAAAAGATAGAGATGAGGTTGGAATACTTGTTCGACCTCGGGCAGATTCTCATCCTTCTACACCTACAGTAAATTCAACGCCAACAATGGACTCAAGTCTTGTTTCAACATCGCGAATAACGCAGAAATGCCAGTTAATGGACTTGGATGATCTTACGGTTTTTCCGAAGCCAACAAAAGATTCTTTTGTTGAGAACTTCCAGCTGCTAGACCAACAACGAATCGTCCCTCGGGACACCCTTCACAACATCTTTCTATCTATCAGCCATCAGCCTCTGGACATCGATTCTGAAAAATTGGATGATCATCCGGGGAACTCAAGCTCGATACCGTCGAGCTCGCGAAAGCTCTGGCCTATTATGATGTCACCTGTTGTCTTACCGCCAAGGTTGACACTCAAAGTTCCATCAGACTCTATTACTATTACCATACCGGTGTTAAACCCACATTTTTCAATTCATTTGGGAGGGAGAGACTTGAAATGTGAGCCCTCAATTCTCGAATTTGGGTCACATCGTAGTCAACAGTTTAGGATTATAGGTTCGGTGCCCGGGAAAAAAACCTTGACCATTCAACCAAAGATCACAGCGGAGAAAGGGACACCTGAACAGTACTATGACTTACATAATCTGCCGTCCAAGCATGTGATCGCAATTGAGCGTCAATTTATGCGACATACCTTCCAGATCTCATTGCTAAATGATCTAGGAACAAGACGACGTTACCTATTTGGAGCTTCTACGGGCGTTGAAAAAGACGAGTGGGCGAGAGCCTTGACAGAATGTCTGCTCCTCGTAAAAGGGCAAAACGCAGTACGATTGAATGAGCACACAGGGTTGGAGCAATCAATTGGGCTACAGATTTTAAGAGAACAACTGCTAGGCGTTGAGGTCCCTGAGGATGGTGACGTGGTACCAGTACCATCCAATGTACAATCCGGCCCACCACAAATGCCTGTAGCGGTCGTGCCACCGCAGACCATGGGCTTGGGAATCCCATTGGATGGTCATACTCTGCCAGTGACGTCTCCTCGGTCGGGTGGATCGAATACAGCAACAGTGACTATTAATGCAGGAACTTCCAGTCCCTCCCTCGGCGCGGGCATGAGTACAGACTGGGCAGGTGTACACAGCAACAGTATTTCTAATTCACCAAACGACACTTGGATGTGTAAGATGCCAAAGCCAGGATCTGTCATCCCAGACAGATATGGCTGGGAGCTTGTCCATCTTGTGGAGCAAAATAGTTTAATGGCTCTTGTACTTGGATTTATGGGCGCATTAGGGCGCGATCGGCTTCGGCGTATAGAGGAGCTACGTAAGAAGATGGAAAAAGAAGAGGAAGAAGAGTGGGAGGAGGAGATAGTGGAGGTGGAAGATGATGAAGAAGAAGAAGAAGAAGAAGATCAGATACAAAGGGAAGAACAAGAAGGACAAGAAATAGATGAACGAGACATGGAAGAGGGTGAAAGATACGTCCCATCGTCTTCTATTAGTCATTATGAAAATTCTAACCAGAGAGCGACTACTGCCTCTATGGACGAAGATCTTGAAGACGGTGTTATCTCTGAAGCATTAGGGGATATGAGCAGTTTTAAAGGCGAGGGGATTTGGACTCAGTAATTAGTTTACATCCTACGTCAAGCATACTTATACAAGTTTTGCACATTATGATTGTATTTTGGTAGCCTAATAAAAAGTTTAATCCAGTAAACTATAACTCATTTAACGGTCCTCAGCCCATTCATTCTCCTTCTTAATCTGTGCTTCTTCCTCAGGCGTAAAATCGTTAACGATGTTGAAGGCCTTCCGGATTTGCTCGGGAGTTTTGCCTTTAATGATGTTAGCAACGGTTTTGCAACCAACATCAAGCAATGGCTTAATATCCAAGTAATTGGCAGCCAAAATTATCTCGAACAACATCTCCTGATCGACTTGCATAAACTTCATGTCCCACTCTTCGATATCGTTTGAACGCTTGCGGGGGTCGTCTGTCTCATCTGAAACTTGAATAGGATCGTTACGATGATGCTCGCAGTACTCGATGACTTTAGTTAACACTGCAGCCGTGACGTTAGGGAGAGGGATGGGTGCGTCGGACTCCCCGACATCCTCAAGCATGTTCTTGATCAAGATCGAACGTTCGGCCACCTCCTTGTCGATTTTGAACTCCTGGCCGTCAGAGGAAACGAGAATCACAGACATGATGGCAATTTTAAATATTTTGAAGAAAGAGATGAATATGCAATTTTTTATTTCGTGTGGCCACATGTCCAAAAAAAAAAAAAAAAAAAAAAAACACAGCCACATTTTATCTAAATCCGCCTTGTACAGCACCAAAAACTGTTCAGGTCATGTGTCACGTCTACAGAACAAAAAGTGATGGCCAGTGCATGGCATGGCACTTATTACGACCTAAAAAAAAAAAAAAAAAAAAAAAAAAAGAGGATTCCTGACCTCAATGCTTTATACAGGCGCTGATAGCGACCTGTCTTCCTACTCTACCTACAGCCGCTGCTGTTTCCTTCATTTAGCAGGTGCTTGCGCGGCGGTGGCGGGGACCAAAGAAGGATCCAGAAGAAGTGCCAGGAGAATAGTCAGTGGGGAAGCTGAGGATGCATTGACAGGCATGTACTTTGTGACGTGTGTCAGTAGCGGAAGGTGGCTATCGAGGATGTAGGCCATGCTCTCGCTACCCATTGTATCGGTCCATGTAAATGCCCCACTCACCACAATACTTGCTATGGTTCTTCAGGTTTCTGAGGACGCCGTTGCAGCTAAGGCATGGGCACTTGGCATTGGTGAAGTATTCATGTATGTCCACGAGCGTATGTCCCAATCTCCCTTGCCTATTAAGCATATCCAGAAGGATTAAGGTTAGAGTAGTTCCGGAGGCGGCCGTATACCTTGATAAAGTTGACTCAATTTCTTATAGAAACGGCACAACAATTTGACATGCTTGTTATCTGCCCCCGTGAACTGAGCCTGGCCGATTCCGAAGACGCTATGCTTTTCGATCTTCTTGGCTACACCTTCTGTACCTCCTGTCATGTCCGCTATAACCGCCACATAGCCGTATGAATAAAAATAGAAATGCCTCTGAGGTGCACTCCCAAGTCTCGGTACGTAACAGCCACGGTCCAAGAGGGCATGGTTACTGTAGGGAGTCAGAATAGAGCTGCTCCTTATTGTTCTGGATAATGAAAAATTCAATATCAGACATATCCTCATCGAGCTTCTCTGCTTCAAGCTTTTTGTTCGGACGATGGAGGGCATACAGAGTATCAGTATTGATGCGTTACGATCCTCCTGATGGATTATCTTTGCCAACCGTGGGCTGTGCGATAGCAGGAGATCTACTCGATGAAGACGGCTTTTTAGAGATGATTGGCTATGACTGGAGTGGAGAGCGAAACCTTGATCTGGAGACGTCATACTACGTTCTGGGTGAAGGTAGACTTGTTTCTACCAAAGCGTAGATGGAAAAAAAAAAAAAAAAAAAAAGTTGATGCGGATGGGTTTTATTTTAGCCGTTTGAAGGATATTTGTGCTCGAATGATACGACGTCTACTGCAGGATTTTGTGGCCTCTCTCCGTATGGTCTTCTGCAACTGGTGTTTCATGCACGCGTGCGAGGGGTGACTGTTGCCTTCGGTGAGAATCTATGAATTGGTGCATCTACAAAGCGTATTTGGATATCTGGCGGATCAAGCAGTTTCGAGATGGCCGAAGCCTATTTGTCACAAAATATCCTGATTTTCTGTTCGAATTGCTTAGAATTCCATCGAGCCCTATGCACTTCTCAGTGACCTTGCAGTACGCAGTTACTCTTTCTTGCATGATGTCATTAGACTCCATCTCCTTATTGCCTTTGATGATCATTGAGATGTTTTCTGGTAAGAGCTAAGTCAAGGAGATCAAAGTTGTTTTTATTATTGTTGCCAGGGCAGGAGCCTTTTATTGAGGTCCCGCCATGACCGTCACCCAATGTTCTGGTCTTATGAATAAAAATGGAAGTAGCCCTGAGGTGCACTCCTAAGTCTCGGTACGTAATAATCATTGCATTGGTCTTGATGTCTAATCTGGTGCGTTTGTTCCGACGTTATTTTGGCACACAGGCTAGGGTTACGAGCTGGCTTGGTGACGAAAACCCGAACACAGACATCACATCGCCGATGTTGTAGGGCCTAAAGTTTCGCAGATTGGGAAGAATAAGAAGCACCGGTCGCAGGTTCCTAAAAGCAAACATGCCGAACCATTGGCGCAGACTATACGGCGAACGACATGGTCAGGGGCATCTGGTGGGGCGGCGCCCAGAGCGTGAGCAATGGAAGGCCTGCCTCAGATGGGCGAATTCCGAATACAAGCCATGGTCCGGGATTCAATAAATCAAAGCAGTATTCGATTAATCAAGCAGCATCTGAATGTTTCAATCAGTGTCCAAAGATGCCCATTTTAAGCGCAAGGTGGTCTACTGGGGGTTGTTTAAATCCCAATCTACAAATATGCTGCATATTCATACCATCCTATCGCTCATGTGCGATACTGGTGCGGCTGGTCAACCCATGGCGCTGACCAACAAACACCAATTACGCTTTGAGGTTGGGGCAATCTATGTTCGGTGCATGCTACTGCCCCATTAATACAGACTGATCAGCCGTGTCCGCCCGACATCACAAGCCGCCTGGCTTGGTCGTTGTTTTTTTAAAAACGCGATTAATTTCCGAAAAGGCCTGTATGGCAGAGATGCAAAACCTATCATCCTTGTTGATCTATAGCTATCCTTGATAAATGCAAGGTAGAGGTGGGTTAATCGGATGGCCAAAATGCAGGCTTTCTTTCCTACCGTATGTAGTAGCAGAGCATGGCTACGATGACAGACTCAATTATGTGTGTGTGAGAAAGAGCTACAAAGATGATATCTGTGCAAAGTAGGCGGGAGTGAGAGCGCTAAAAGGCAATAGAGGCATGGAACGATGGAGGAGAAGAGGGAGAGAAAAACAATAAAGAGATATAAAGAAAAGAACGCGACTACACAGCCATAGAGTGGAAAATGCATATTCAAGCACAGCACATATGGGTTTTTTATATGCATACACTTAAAAAAAGCACCGGCCATAATTACTCTTCATCACTCCTCGCGAAAAAAGAAAAATGGTACACTGGCCTCCGCCAGTGCAACGAGTAAGGTTTTTGCTACACCAAACCAACTTGCCAATCAAATATTACATCTGCATCTTTCAGTCGATGCTGTGCTCTATGGCCACAAAGGCGTCTTTTTTTCACCTTCATTGTCATTTGTTTAACTATCAATTCATCATACAAAATTAATATTAAAGGAATAATGACAGCAGGGTATACAAATGATCCTTCTTATCAGATTGAGGACGAGGATAAGGATGAGAATGAGTACCAAGAGGAGCGCAGTAGTAGATTTAGCCATATAGAGGGCACAATTCATTGAAATATACCAAGAGCATAGTAAGCAACGAGAACCAAGGTAAGGTCTTTATTGTAATCCATAGATCCTCGTTAAATAAAAGTTTATGTTGAGACGACTGCTAATGCAACATTACTCCCTCCCCAGACGAGTGTTCGGATAAGAGCAGGCTTTAATAAGGCTGTTAAGTTGAAAAAACATAGTTCTTTTTTGAAGGATCTGATGGTATTTGGGCTATGTCAGCTTCTATTTATTCAGGTAATTTGAAGAATTTGAAGATATTTAACAGGCTTTGTTCATTTTCAAGTAGAAACTAGATAGTAGCCTCAATGACCTGTTGCTAAACATCCTAAGTATGGATAGTTTTCCAAGCCACGCATAACGCATTAGAGATTTGTGACAAAAATATTAATGTCGTGTCCAGGAGCACGGACGATTCGATGCAGTGCGCTGGATGGCTTCATTTTTACTTGAGAAGCTTTCAAGGAAATAATTTTTTTTACATGCAAACCGCATATGTCGCGAACATCCAAACTGATTTACCACGTGAGAGTCGTCTTGGCATAAGACTTTGCGACTTGACATGACCTTCTCTACACATGAATTCATTACTCTCTCTCACAAGTATATACTAACTACCCTCTCTTCTTCCCCTTGTATATTTTCTTGTCCAATTCAATACAGGATGGCATCTTCCATGAGTAACCTTCTCGCTATTGATTTTAAACGGACAGAGCCACTCTCAATGACAAAGAGTCTTAGCGACTATATCTCCACATCCTATGCGGAGCATCCAGATATCTACCAGGATGACTTTCGTGTCCTTGATGAGCTTAGAGCTGATATCGTCAACCTTGAGCCTCACCTTAATGCTCTCAACCGCCTGTTAAAGTGGGTCTTATGCTGCTCGATTCATCTACATCTTTAATTATAATCAACAACAGCTTAGCATTGACGCTATTTTTGCTTTACTATGTCGCAATAGGTACCATGCACAGCTTGTGTTTATCAGTTCCAAATTTCCTATTGATGTGAGTTATAAACTATTAATCCTCTTGATGAGTGGCCACATTTTCAATTATAGGTCAATTGACCTGCTTATCAATAAATTATCGTGATGTTTTTAGACAGGTGTTGAATTCTCCTGGGCACTCGTCAACAGTACCGACAAAAAGATGTGTAAGGAGAAGCCGGTTCTTTACAAAAAAGTAAATGTATTGCGTTCAGTAGACGATACAAAGTAGTGCCTAGAATCTTACAGTTCTTGTCCAATGCACCTATCTGGAATTACAGACTCCTTCAGAAACATGTATTACGAACGAGCATGCATTTGCTTCAACATCGGGGCTATGTATAGTCAGCTCGGCAACAATGAGAATAGAAGCACAGTCGAAGGACTAAAGCGTGCTTGTTCCTATTTCCAAGTACGATACGGGGTTCCCGTCGAGAAATTTCGAGCGTTACTATCTGTTGATCTTCCTGTCAATACAACGATAACGTATTTATTTTTTTATTTTTTATTTTTATTCTTTTTTAGAATTCCGCAGGAACATTTCAACATTTACGGGATACGATTATTCCAGAACTGAGGATTGCTCCAACTGTCGATATCTCCACAGCCTCCCTGACAGTTTATATCCAACTTATGCTTGCACAGGCACAAGAATGTTTCTGGCAGAAAGGCGCATTAGGTAAAACCTTTGGTCCAGTTGATGTTCTTCTAGTTGACCGCCAATCACCGGCCCATTAAACTGTGGAGGCCTTTGCTACAACTTATATATATGTTTCATGAAGAATAGATCAGATTAAGGATGGGCTAATCGCTAAACTAGCAGCCAAAGTTGCTGATTACTATACAGCAGCAAACGAAGGGGCAACCCATTCAAGTGTTTCCTCCCTATTCACTACACCATGGACAAGCCAAATGCAGGCCAAGGCTTTTCATTTTAACGCTGTATCTCAGTACAGAAAGTCATGCGAATGCATATCTCAAAATAAATATGGCGAGGAAATTGCGCGACTTCAGATTGCTGAACGGCTTGTTAGCTCAGGACTCGATCTACAGAGGAACCTCAGGGAAACGGTCGTAAGCGATCTACGTTCGTTGCAATCCGCCATTCATCGTAACCTCTCGAGGGCAGAGAAAGATAATGACATCATTTATTTGGAACCTATTCCTGCAGAGACCGCACTGGCGTCAATTGGGCGTGTGGATATGAGCAAGGCAACTATCATTCCAGAAATATCAAACCCTGTTCCACTAATGAATGAGCATAATATATTGTTGGGTGTCCCATTGTTCTCGAGACTGGTTCCGTTTGCAGTCCATCAAGCAGCGAGTGTTTATACAGAGCGCAAGGAGAGGCTCGTGAAAGAAGACATTGGAGGAAAGTTTGATGAATTGACAGGTATTTTTTATAGGTATGTGAAGCGAAGATGCTAGACCTAGTCCTCATATTTGACAAGTTGGAGCAAAAGATAGATCTAATTGGTATATTCATTACTCAATTTTAGTCAAATGCAAGCGCTAAATCTGCCCGGAGCTCTTCAAGCACTTGAGCAGCCCATCGGATTGCCGCCCTCTCTTCTGTCCCATATTGATGAAATACATGCTGAAGGGGGTACCCGAACGCTAAATGAAATGGTTCAGACTGTTCGGACTCTTTCACATCAAAATGCAGCCATATTAGATGAAATCTTTGGAGCATTACAGCAAGAAGCTGATGAAGACGAAGCAATGAGGCGAAAGTTCCAAGGACGTTGGAACCGCCCTACATCAGCGTCTCTGACAGTTAACCTCGTGGAACAGGGGAAGAGGTACAGAGACACCCTTGAAACTGCTAAAAAAAGCGATCAGATTGTTAGAAATAAAATGGAGGCGCTAATGACAACATGGGGGCGCTCATTGGAGCTGCTCGGCAGTGGTAGGGTGAGTATGCTTTTTTCCCGACGTTTTCATTGTGAGCCAATCATCTGATTTATATTCACTTACACTTGCTATGGTTGCTGATGCATCACAATAGGTTGAAGTGGAACGCGCTGTGCCTAATACAATTAATGCGCCGGGCTCTTCAGATCCCGAAATTGTATACGACTTGAAGATGTTGTTAGAAGAGGCTGATCAGATGATCAAGGCGCGAAGGATTAAATTAGATGAGGTCAAGAGGATTGCGGATGAGGACGATATAGGCCCATCTTTAGTGGCTATTACTAATAAGTTAACAGCCAACTCATCTGCAGTCAAAATTGAACCTGCTCATTTTGAAGCGCATTTTCAGGAGCAACTCAAAAAGTACGACGGATATAAGGCGCTAGTTAAAGAGGAAACAGCTGCACAAGAGGATCTTTTGATGGCTATCCAGGTATTAAACAATTGGCTATACATCATCGACAATCTCCAGAGATGGCGCTTTATTATATCTACTTATATCACATCTTTATTTTATTTTTATTCTTATTTTTATTTTTATTTTGAATCATTAGGAAATAAATAAGGCTTTTGTCGCATCCAGAAAAAGTAGCCCAGTTGTACATCAACGAGAGAAAGCTCTTCAAAATCTGGAAGCAGCATATCAAAAGTATAAGGCAATACTGCTGAACCTCAAGGAAGGAATGCAGGTATTGATAATCATTATGTTGTATAGTATGTTCTCTCTACAAATTAATCTGCACTCAGTAATCAAGCTAAATTTCATTCCGTTGGCTATAGTTCCATCGCGATTTTGAAAAGATTTTAGTACGCCTGCGCGATAACTGCCGCGATTATCTTCTCGCCCGCGAGATGGAAGCCAAAGATTATTTGAGGTAAACAAGAGCTTCTATTTTACACAAACGGTAACTTCAATCAAAGTAGGAGCAAGGTTTTTTTCGTTGTCCTGAATTGCCATTTCCTGTCAATGATAGTGAGGTGACCGCTGGAATATCATCCATCAATTTAAATCGCTCACAGCCGCAAAGCCCTGTGCACGGTTCTCCTTATGATGTAGCCAGCGCGCCTCCTCAATCCTATGATTTTCAACCTGGGTCCGGGAAGTGGAGTCCAAGTCTTGGTGTACATTTTGGTGGTCAAGCACCCACTTTACCCCCGGAAGTAACGCAGGGGCAAATCGGGTCGTTTAGTCATAACAGCGCTACATTCAGTCCCTATGAAGATGCACCGGTGGGTCCGCCATCTCAACCGCAGCCAAATTTTGCACAACATCTTCGGCAACAGTTTCAGCAAAAGCAGCCATCTTCCTTTCAAGGTACATCATCACCACAACAACGGCAACAACAGCAGCAACAGCAACAGCAACAAGCTCCGCCGTCTTATCAATCCTTGCCCGGAAATAACAATGCTCCTACACCAGGCGTATGGGACCCTAGTAAAGGCTTGTTTTTCGGAGGAAAGCCCAAGAATTAAAGTCAACATATAAATAAAAATAAAATAAAGAAAACCCCTCAATGTTTTTAATAGAAACCATTACTCGTCGCTCAATATTTGTTGTCTAAGCCATGTGGTTTCTTCGACCACCCAGTCGTTGTTACTATGTGGTCCCTCTATAGCACTAACTTCTTGAAATCCTTGATTTATCTTGAGGCTGGCCATTGAGTTGAGGTATTTGCCTGTATTAACATGCTGCAGCCAAAATACATCTTTCCATTGCAGAAAAGGCGAGAGTGGTTTCTTGATATCGGGCTCTGGTCGAGTGACGATCCAATCATTGTTACTGTCGTGGTATCGGTATCCAGTAACCTCGTTATGATCTTGGTGATTAAGAGATCGATGATTGTGCGAATGGAGATAGAGTGTAGTCGAAGGTGTAGTCTTGTAGATCATGGTATGATACTGGCAAAGCGATGGGGGATCGATAAATTTCATTTTGTCTGCCTCGTCGATATCGTCAGGAGCAGTGATCTGAACAGAAGGCATACCATACGACACTTCAGATAATGCCAGACGAGATAGTGAATGTGAGCCACATGCGCATGGGTATGACATATCTTGCTCTATCTTGATCCATTTGACATTATGATCTAAATGATCTGAAGCTTGACGACATCTTAAGCAAAGATATGGTGGGGCCATACCATCTTGTGGAGGGTAGCAATCACTAATAGAAACAACATGGGAACAAAAGAGGGATAAGTTTTTTTTTTTTTTTTTTTTTAAAAAAAAAAAATAGAAAGAGTAATAATTATTACTATCATTATTTCGGAAATAAAAAGTATTACCTGCAAATTGCAACCCATTCACCAGCACTCGCAGTATAAAGGCATCTGTGAACGATGTTCGTTCCACCAGCCCGCTCGTGCCGCTCACAATGTGTAGCAAAGCGAAACGCGCTATTCTCACCACATCCACATCGCGTAGTTTCAAATCCAATCGAGGCATACAATCGCAGATAACTGTGGCCCTGATGGGCTTCTTTGATAAAACAAGACTCGCAAAATACTCTTCCAGGATCTGTCTGACATGTCTTTATAGTTGCATTAAACATTTTTTTTTTCTTAGTTAGTACCGATAGTGCTGTCAAAAGTTATAAAAAAAAGCCAGAACATACAACTAATAAATTTTACATACCTTGCATTGGTAGTAGTGCATACCTTCCTTTATATCCGTAACACAAAGCACAGTCTGTCGATTATGATCGTCTTTGCAATCTGTACTATTAATATTGGCTTGTGTAGGTGGCTGTCTTAGGATACTTGGGTCACCACAGTGACAGTATAGACCTTCATTATGCTTATTGATCCCTTCCTCAATCTCATGGCCAATGTGGTCTTCAGATTTAAAGCAACGAGTACAAATCCATATGTCTGATGTTGCAGTAGGCAAGCTAGACTGATGTTCATCCTCTGAGTCATCCGTTGGGATCGAATCCAGCATTAAAGAAGGATTTGTGATGTGCTCGCTATCAACAACATGACAAGTTCGACAGCGCCACATACTCTCATGACGCTCAAAGAGATAATTGCAATGACTGAGACTTGGAACAGGTCGGAATTCCTGTGGTAAATGATAGTTGCAGTCAAACGCAGTCTTAAACATGGTTGGATCACCACAATCGCATGATACATGATAAACTGCCTCATCTTGTAGCTCTTCCTCATTACTTTCATTATTCTCACTTTCTGGTAATTCTTGCTCCAGTGTCTCATCCGATGGGTAACAGGGCGAGTCTACAGTGTTCATGGTTATACCTATTTCAGCTTGTTCGCCTTCGGCAGGGACCTCGTGGGTTGACTCTTCAGCAGCGATCTCACGAGTCGACTCTTCAGCGGGGATCCCGCGAGTCAACTCAGAACTGGTCCTTGGTTTGACATCGGGCTGCTGGAAGACACCCATCCTCCAACGATGTTTCACGCATCGTGAGTTGTGAAAGCATCGCCCACATAATACCACCATACTATTGAAACTGCAGTCTTTACAGTGATAGATATCTTCGCCAGGCTTGAATATATGTCCGCATCGTTGTGATTCTAATGATGCTTTGGCTACTTCTGATACAGCTTTAGGTGGAAGTGAGGGTGAAGTCTGATCATCGGTGGTAGAGTGAACCAGAGCTGGAGAAGAGGGGGAAGACGATGATGAAGCAGCCTCTTGCTCAGGTGGTAAAGGTTTCCATGGTGATTTAGAAGGTGAAGGTAGCCTGATAGACCTTGGAAGATATTCGCTCTCGAGAACACCAGGGCTATGGTATGCACAACGCAAATCGAATTTCCAGAACTTTCCATCACAGCAGCTGCAACTGGAGCCGTCTCTTGCAAGTTGAGCTATAAAATCATGGCCAAAGTGGTTGTGCTAAGGATATTGTACCACATATCGTAGAAAGAACCATAGATCAGAGCGTGTATTCAATCATTACGGAAAACTAAGCATAGGCTGTAAACAGGATCTAGGACTTACAGAGCGGAAACATCGAACGCAGAGTACCGCATCATCGTTGGCATTGGTAGCGCACGACTATCACAAAGGGTTGAATAATGTCAATCAATATCATTCATCCATTCATTCATTCTTTTTTTTTTTTTTTTTTTTTTTTTTTTTTGTGCTTACCTTGCATCGATACACTTTTTCACCCGCCTTAAATTTGATCTGACATGGTTTGCCCTTTGTATGGCCTGAATAAGATTTTTGACTTTCCGCAGAGTGCAATGAACAGTGAAGCATCCGTCTCATTTTTAACCTGGAAGGATCGCTACAGACGCAGACAGATGTCCCCCAAGAGCACTGCAAGTACATCGTATGATCAGCATGATCCGAAGCTTGTTATTTCATCATTCAAATCGAATACATGTTAATAACAGCATCTTTGTTTTTTGAAGCATGTTTATCGAGTCATCAAAAAGTTAAGAGATATAAACGGCCCTACCTCGGAAACATCTCATGCAAAGAACATCAGCTGGGCAGGTCTTACAAATAACATAAGTTTCACCATATGGGACAATATGTCGACATGGGGCTCCTTGCGCTCGTGGTAGATACTCTGGCATTTCTATTTTAGTATTCCTAGTAGAAAACCAATATGAAATAATCCAGACACGGTCACCATATTTGACCTTCCAATCTTTACGGGTGCGGATTATATCCTTTGCAGGGAGGATAATCCATTTTGAAGCAGTATACGTCTTGCTATCACAGGCAACTATACCAAGCAATTTGCCACGAAGCAAGCACATACCGTAAGTCGATTTTCAAGATGGAAAACAAAAACAAGAAAGTGAAATAGATAGCTGAGATATTGGTTTTCCTTAAAACATACCTACATTCTGGCGAGATGATCCTTCGTGGGAATATAGCCAATTCCAGATCCAGGCATATTGCAATGTATTGGCATGTAGCATGTGAATTGTCCATCCGAACTGGACGACTGTGCTATTGGCGTGCTCTTTTTGATCGCTTGACATTGAACCATCTACGTTGCCGGTACTGCTGGAAGACTCTATGCCAGCACTACCCAACTCTTTATCTTGCCTAACAAACATACAAATAAACAAATATAAAAAACAGGAGAGAAATGGTAAAACTTCTACAAATTCATCATATAGAAGTCAGTATCATGACAAAGAAGACTTGAAGGCCCATAACTTACGAGTCTTTGTCATTGTCTTCCAATTTGGACCGCCTCTTAGCCATCATAATCTCAGCGATCTGTTGTTCAAGCTCTGTCGGAGCATGCTCATTCTGCTGTAGTGATTGTGCTGTCGCGCTTCTCGATATGCTAGTGCTAGTACTATTAATGTCCACATTTCCATTTACTGATGCTAAAGCCTGAATGCTGGTGCTCTTCCCGTTCAGTGTATCAGTTAAAACATCTGCGCTGCTTGCACTACCTGCCCCAGCAATATTACCAATGCTTCCATTCATAAGGACGAGAGACTGACGTGTTGAAGAGGAGATAGAAGAACATCGCTTCAAATGAGATGAAAGAGTGACTGGAGATGTGGGTAAAGCTGAGTTTGGAGCAGTATTAGCAACCGATTGTAGGAAGATGACAGATTCAGCTTGTTGCATCTCATCCAAGTTTTCTAGAATAGAAAGGGCTTCCGCGCTAGGTATGCACGTCTCAAGATAGTTTCTGCGAACTTGATCAACGGCTTGTAAAAAGTCAGAATAGTCCTTGGGAGTGACACAGGAGGAAAAATGTATACAAGACAGTAAGTGTAAGCGTTGCATGCCATTTATAAATGGTTACGTTGGTGTGGTTGATATCTTCGAGAATGTGAATAGGATTGTTAATACCTTAATATCGGGTGAAGATCTCAGCGTTAGAGGTGACACTGTAGCTGAAGCTAAACTACTGCTATTTCGCTGATTGCCTAATAGACGGTTCTTGAATACTTGCCAATGTTCATCTAAAGTAACCATATGATGGTTCTGCAGTGCCGAAGCATTTGCGTTATAATATTCCAGATAAAGCCCTCCTGTGGGAACCATCATCTCTAAAGCCGATGTTGCTCCAACAAGGTTTGCATCCGTTGCAGCTGCAGACTTTCCTGAAGCATGGTCTGTGATAGTGGTTTTGAGACAATGAGTCCGAAAATCACCAAGCAACTTGGGTAGGTAATACTCGAAACCAAGATAATAGCGCCTTTCGATTTCTTCTAATGATCTAGATTGAGCATCGTGATGGAGCATTGCAAGAGTGTGCCAAGGTAATGGGATGGGTTGTCGGTCCAGATGCTCGTTCATGATACGGTGGTATGTATGTGCTCCATTGTATAATGCACGTTCACGAATGGCATCGCGTGCGGCTTGCTGCAGGTCGGACAGATTTAGTGGTGCTGAACATCCATTTAACTGAGTCAAGTATGTCTGGAGCTTGGCATAGAGTACAGCACCTAAATTAATATAATATTGAAATGGTTACAAGGATCTTCATCATAAACTCGAATATGATTTTTACTCTTTTGGATAACTCAAGGACATACCACTTGTAGCCTTCTGGCTCTCTGTTAAAGTGCTTTGATTATCCGGCCGCTGTTTGCTACGGCCCGTGAGCTCATGAAACCAGGAGCTGTCAATATGAGCCTCATTACTTTTTTTTGTGTCAGTCACTGTCAAATCCTTTAGATCTCGCATGAGGACAGCCTCGATTGATTGTTCGTTCATTTTAGATCGCCTTTTACGAATACTTCCTCCAGCCCTGTTATTAATCTTCGATGACGCTGGTGAGGGACAACACTTGATGGACCTAAAAAACTGCTCGAGCACTGCAACTTGCGCTGCAATATCTTCGCTTTCAATAGACATTACGCCGGTGGACTTTCTAGCATCGCTGATATACATCTCGAGTGTAGCAGCTCCACGAGCATGTCCATGATCGCTCTTGGCTTTTGAATTTGATATTGCTCTATTAACAGGATCGCTCCAACGCCAATTCAGGCTTGGCAAGTCGAAAGGCGGGTAGTGACGTTGCGTCGTCTGCAATGTGAGTAACGACCGCGCTAGTCGGGCCAAATCCCCTTCGGTATCGTAGATCGTGGGCGATACAATGTTCAACTGGTTTGAGAAGAGGGCAAGTATAGGTTCAAGAATCCCATGGAGTGGAAATGAGAAAGCGCTGTTCTCCGTCGTACTATCATATAATGTATTAGGACTGATGCTGTTATCATGTCGGTATATTACGTAGAGTGTATGAACCGGGTGACTAGATGATACAGAATCCATTGTACTTGTTGGTGATGATAGCCAAGCCCAGATGCCACCACCGAGAAGCCTAATATCTGTTGTTGATGTTGTCGATGTTGTCTCCGTGTCATTGGTCTGTTCCTGTTCATTATTTGTATCGCTACTGTATGAATTTCTGATAACTGACGCAGATGCTGCTGCTGTTGCTGCTGCATCACATAGAGCATCCTGAATTGATCTGTGATACGAAACTATTTAAATACATATACACATCAGAGTTAGTGTTATTGAGTCTTTGCATTACTACATTTAGTTTTATGCTTCATAAATATGAGAAAAAAGTCTGTTATTGGTGTGCCTACAGAATGACACAACAGTCAGAGGTTCAGCTAGGTTCTCGAGAATTGCTCGTGTAGCCTCAGGAATATCAAAGACCCACGGAGAAGAACTGGGTGAGGGAGTAGAAGGCACAGGAGAGCGTCGAATTTTAGCCAGTTGGAAGAATAGAGCCATTGCTGTAGAACACAAGGAGTTTTAGTGAATCGGTAAAGACGACGATACTTGGTGAAGGTGCGGTTGCAGTAAGATAAGAGTGGACATTCGCACGCGCACACGCACGCAAGTGATCCGATTCAATGGGCTGAGAGAAAAAGAGAAGAGAGAAAAGTTAAGAGCAGGGGAATTCAAAAGACAAACTAGCGTTCAAGCGTTCGAGTGAAAGATGATGGAGGAGAGAATGAGAGAATGTCCATGGCTTTTGAGATGTGATCTTTGTACAACCCCTGTGCCCTTTTGTGGAAGGGCATGGTACATGTATAAATATATACAGTGGAATCTCGATAATTGTACACTTTTGTACAAATTTCAAATTTGATATATTTCTAGGCCATTGGTTGGCTAAGAGCCTTACTCTTTTAAAAAAAAGTATTCTAAAAAACCCACACTCAACTGGAGTAGAGGAATCAGCAGAGGATTTTTAGAATAGTTTTTCATGAATTGTGGGCTTCTTAGCCAATCAATAACCGAGAAATATAGCAAATTCGAAAATTGTACAAAAGTGTACAATTATCGAGATTCCACTGTATAAAATATTCATGTATTGCTCAAATTATTCGACAGTTTAAACATGCATGTTTTGTTAGACTACCAGCCCAGTGGTCATTATCAAATCATTTTGCAAGAAAGAAACTTTGTCCTTTTTTACTTGTCTCCAATCCCGCCCTGCGTCCTGTCTCCTCTGGACATTGACAGTGGTCCATGTGAAACGGAGTTGTTCTCGGGGACTATTTTTTAATTTGGTATGTCCGTTAGGCACAGATCGGGGAGGTTCAGTAACAAAAGAATGTACATGATTCGACCGGCTCTGAGACATGTCAACAATAAGGAATAAATTTTAAAATAAAGAATCAATTCATTCGATGGGACATTTATTACCTTTCCATGTATTGCCCCACCACTTCAAGAATGCGACGGCGACTGACACAGCTTGCAGCAACCTACTCTAGCATAGATCCTGGTATCGCCTGGACAGAATATAATTTTAGGAACCCAGGCAACGTTGTATGTGCCGTAAGAATCGCGGTGGATTACCAATACTTCAGGTGGTGTTGGTGGAGGAAACTTAACCACTCTGATTTATTACATGTACATGTACTATCGCGGACGACACATTATCTAATGCCCACTGTATAGTGCACGGGCCTTGTACCATTCATTATATTGCTTTTTTTTTTTTTTTTTTTTTTTTTTTTTACTCTGCGTGTTTGTTAATGCGAATTGCTTGAGACCTTGCCTCTGGACTCCAGACCTCTGCTACCCAATGCAACTACAATAAGGCTGGCTTCGGGCAACGTTCGATTGGTCTTGATGTCCTTTTCATTTTTCCTAATGCCTTGAGCTGCACTTGAACCACATACCTTTTTTTTTTTGGATGTATTATGTTATTTCTACGCCCTATCCGTATCTATACTATTGCTGTTGAGGCAAGCATGGCAATAATATACGTAGTGCAGATAAACTTCATATCTTCATCTCCCTACTGTTGTGCTTTCATTTGAATATATTTTGCACTATCATATTAAAACTGCATAGAATCGGACTATTCAACAATCTTAATTTCGGGCCGTAATATTTTCAACTCCTGTTTTAGCTGGCTGCTTTTTCGTACTGCGCTGATTACATTTCCTGACAAGGTCCTCAACTGAGGACATTCTTTAACCATCCACATAACTTCCTCTGAGCTCATTCTAATTGGCATATTCCCAAGATCTAACTCATACAAGCGCTTTAGCGATGCTAACCACCGTAGTCCACTCTCTAATGTAAGTTCCAATAGGTGATTATCTTCTGCAGAAAGGACAGGGCTTGCACGCAAGGCCAGCACGCGGATCCGGCCTAGCATAGACAGTTGCTGAAAGACCAAAGATTGCATTTCTTCATGCCATGCATTTTGGGAATGACAGAGGTCAGCAATAACTAACTCTAGCTCCTCAATACTCAGGCACGCCCACGACGTTAGTATAGCGCCTGTCTTAGTCGCATAGAATGATCTCGCAATATCAATCGCCTCCACATTAGCCGCGCGAAATATTTTCAGTCTAGGCATGGAAGCCAACATCCGTTGGATCATCTTACTGCCTAGATCTTTGCAGTCCATTAAGTCCAACTCCAACATCTTGTCCCTCTGATCAGCTATTAATTGAAGCGCCGATTGTGTGCCAAATGGTGTCGATCTTGCTCCGAGAGCCTCTAATGTAGGTAACATTGCAATGACTCTAGCCATATCCGCATCTTCTATATGGGAGTTTCCAATATCCAGTCGGTTTAGGCTCACAGGGACCGCTAAACTCCCTGAAAGCCACGACTCTGTCAACAGCTTAGTACCACGCCGCCAGTTGATTGACTTGAGTTTAGGAGCCTTTCTGACCAATTCAAGTTGGCATTGGGGTGGAAAATCATTCCAAATAAGGATCAAGGCTTCCAGGCTTACGAAAGTACTCATTGAAATGTCCTCAGGATCAACAGAGTCGGAGTACAAAGAGCGGTCAGTGACCTTGATACGATCCAATTCTAACCGCTTGACGGTCTTACATACTTTGTTGAAAAGATTCTTTGGAGGGTCCAATAGAGTCACTGGTCCAAGAGCTAGCTCGGCTAAGTGTGGGGCCATTCCAAGGATATGAAATAGGTGACGGCACCATAAATCTTGCGCCTCCTGGTCCTTTCGCATACGATTGGAGCGACAGCTAAACGAGGTTAGCGTCTCGATATTGTGTTGTGTAATCATCAGGATCTCAGGGCTGAGGATAGAGACGGAAATGCTAGTCAGCAGCATGAGAGGCTGTCTTGTCGAGAACGCTAAAGGCTCCAATAGAGAATTAGAGCCGACCTGATGAAAATGACGGATATGATGACGATTACGGAGCAGCAGCGTTGGTGTTGCCTGCTTTGGCGTAAAATTGCAAGGCTGATTTTGCAGTGCTAGTGTATGCCAGACTAAAGGCTCAAGAGCAATATGCCATGTCCTACAAACACGAAGGAATACAAGGAGTTGTGAGCGAGAGACATGACGACCCAAGGTTTTCACTATATTTGGAATAAGGAAAGGATTCTGAACTTCTTGGGCTTCCATGCTTGAAATGTGAAAGAGAAAAAGAAATAAATAGAATTTAGCATGAAATGCCTTCACCAT